CTGGCTGGTCCAGCCTGTGTTCCGCAAATTTTGGACACTCAACCCAATGAAGCTGCGTGTTCGGTACATTGCAAACTGCGCAGTCCGCATGTTTGGTAAGGTCAAACCGGGATTGTTGCCAGGGGGAAATGAACGAGCCTTCCCGTATGCAGTTGATCTGCGCAAGCTGCAAAGGCGTGAGTTTGTCATCAAATTGAAGGGTCTGAAACTTGTCAATGCCCGCCAAATCCGAAAGTGTGGAACGGTGCCGTACCTGTTCCGCCACATGCTGCATCCACGCTTCCTCCAATAAGGAGTCAAGGGCAACCGAGTCCAGTGTGAAGAGGTTGTGGATGAGGCCGTCATGATCGGAGAAAAGGGGGGGCACCAAAATCTGCCATCCAATTGTTTGGAATAGCTGCCTGAGCTTCGTGAAGGGTCCTGCCAGGATGGCATTGGAGCCAGCTGCATTCCATTGCTCTTGCAACTGGGGGGATTTCCTGCTGATGCGCCGAAAATCGTGCACCGTGTGAATAAGCTGGTAGTAACCCGGATCTGCAGCAGGCTGCTTACTGATGGAAAGTCGAATGAGCGGACTGGCTCCGCCATGTGCAACTCCCAAGGCACGTACTGCTGATGTACGGAGCTTTTTCAGGTAAGTGTCTGAGATCGGGCAGCTGCTTGCACCGTGCAGAATGCTCGGCCAGAAAACCATTGGCAACATGGCAACCTTCTTGGCAAAGGGTGCGCGAGAGCGACGGAGTCTCAATCAGCTGTCTTCCTGCTGCGTTCCACGCTGAGCGAGTGGGCGATTGCGTCTCTGCTTCGTGAATGACATGATGCCACCAAGCTCTCGGGCGTCAAGTGCCATGGAAAAACCCAGGGGCAGAACACCGCGCCTGGTGTGTTTGGTAGTGCCCCAAGTGTACGTCTTGGAGGAGTCCAAAGTCATTCCCCATAGTGCGAAGAACCTGTAGTGAAAACCAGGCAGCCGCGATTGCTGGTGCCTGATCTGCTGTGAGGATGATGTTGTCCACGAAACTCAGTGTACGTACTGCGGGGCAGAACTGCCTTGGTAGCAGTGAAGACACCAGCTAAGGAATGCCATGGCTGAAACACTGAGCGGGCATCCTTCCGGAAAGCCGATGTTCGACAAATGTGGGTCTCTAATATGATTCAAAACCTTGAACCGACGTCCGAAGCCAGCGAGGAATGCTCTCCAAGGGCCCAAAATATGTGACGGTATTCCAAGGTGTTGCGCCAGCATAAACAACTGCATATGGTGCCGAATGGTTGTATATCTCGCTGCTTCCTGGGCAGTGGACTGAGTATCCAAGTGCAGCCTTCAGGACTGTTGTTGAGGCCTGTGGCACTTAAAATCTACATGGATTTGTCGAAGCCCACTTACCCATAGCGAACCCTTTTCCCCTTCGCGATTTCCCTGTCCGCCACTTTTGGCCAAAGGTGGTCACCCTTTTGTATTTGTGGGGGTCCCTAAGGCCCCAGAGGGGGCCACCCTCTTGGGTTTTCAAGAGGCCCAGCTGAGGGAAACCAACCCTTTCGTTGTGTTTTCCAGAACCAACGAAGGAGACCATCGAGGTAGCACCCTTTCCATGGCCGAGGGACACGTTCTCCACGCGAGGTACAGCTTGAAGGCCTTCGAGCGTTTGTTGCCAGCCCTTGCGCCCAACGCCATCATCGCGGTGCACGACACCGGGTTACATGTCAGGAGCCCAGCTCGTCCGCCGCCCGGGGAATTGGGATTTTTGTCCGGCAGAACCGGGGCGAAGCGGCAAACGGTGCGGAAACCCACGAACTTCACGTTATAAGCAATGTGTCGTTGGTGTGGTTTTAGTTGAACTTGTGTGTTGCTTATTTTGGCTTCAGCGCGTTCTTTTGGCTGTTATTTCTTCACCGGTGTTGGTGTAGTTATTATTGTTTTTGTTGTACTGAGCTGTTTGCTAGTTTATGTTTATTTGTGCTGCACCAAGTGTTGCATGTTTTTGTTGGTTCTGTTCATGCTTAGTGGGTGGCTGCAACAAAGTGGTTGGCAACTACCCCCCAAACCGCTACCCCGAAGAGCGGGGGGAGCAGAGGTTGTCAACGCTGGATCCGGCACACATATGCACATGCTGCAAAAATGGGTATGCAACCACTGAGGTTCTACTGTTCTCGGGATCTCGGGCATCAGCTTTGACAGTCGACCCCGGATGAATCCGCCTGATGCATACATGGGTTGCAAAGAACACGTGTCAAGGACGTCCTTTTGAATTGAACGACCCCTCCAAATCAAAGGGTCAATGAATCCTTGGCTATCGCTTAGATGGCAAAAAGCAAATCGACTCTTGGACGGTCTATGGCAACCATTGTTTCCACTGCGACGCCATGCCAAAACGGAGCTGGGCCTACATTTAGCCCTTTTGGCATCAGCCCACGAGGAGCGCGGATTTGTTTGCCCAAAACGCACCTGAGGTCCGTGACTTTGGCTCCAGCGCGCCACAGGAGGCGACGGACACGGCTTGGAGGTTGCGAATCTGCGGATGTGGGTCTGTTGTTGGAGAAGCACTAGTTTACCAAAAAGAAAGAGGGGGAAGAACAGGTGAAGTCCACAAACACATCCAATCCGTAGTCTGGACAATTGAGGTTTTCACCTGTTGGTTTCCCCTTTTTGGCAACTTGTTTTTGGCAGTTGGCGAAATCTTCCAGCAACTTATGTTCTTTGCAACCGCCCTTACAGTTTCCTGGCCGGCCGCCAAACAGAACTGAATACAGAACGGCACAAGGGACGCTCAGCCCTGAACAAGATCGGATGAACCCTTAGTCGGTTAGAGACAGGGTGCCCCTTCCCCCTTTTGCCCTTTACCACACGCTGACCATGCCATGCTGTTGCCCCTCACTTCCTGAGTTCCTGGACTTTAAACTTTTTGGTCTTTGGCAATTTTAGTGGTAGATAAACAGGTTTGGATTTTTTGTTGTGTCCGTCCACTCGGGAAGTGAGGCCCTGACATGCCCTGACCATGTGACAAGGAGTAAAAGTCAGCCCTTGCAAAGGGCACCCTTGATGCTCGCCGAGCTCGCTTGACTGAAGCCGACCGTTGATTTGGTCCATGAGTAGTCAAGGTTCCCCAAAGGAAACCATCCCGTCCTCTAACATGGAACCCACAAGATCCAAAGGCGGCCATGTCTACGTCTGGGTCCCTAAGGAGCAACTGAGGTGCCCTCCCACCACTAGCATGGAACCTGATATTCGGGGATTCCTTTAAAAGGATAATTGTCTTCCAGGACCCCGCCGTCACGTTCCATGTTAGTTGGCCGGAGGGTAACCCGCCTGAAACCGCTGAAACCTCGCGGCCTCGCTCGCGCCAAGGAGGAGGGTCTCCCCTTCAACCTTCAGCGCTGCGCCGCAAGGGCCGGAGGTCAGCAGCGTTGCCGGGGACCAAAGGGACTCGCTTGAAACAAAAACCGATGCGCAGACTCCTCCGGAGATGGTGCTGTATGCTCACTTGCCCAAACCCAAAAACATTTAGCCTTTTGGTTTCTATGATCTCATGGCCCCAGAAGGGCTAGCCCTGGCATTTCCGGGGCCTTTGGGCAACTTGGGATATTCCAAAAGGCCCAACATGTTGCAAGTAAACAACCCAGACCGAACCACGGCATGGGTCAAATACGGTACAATAGCGAGTTTCCTTGTGTCAACATTTAGGGCATCCACCGTACAGCCGGGGATACATACACTTTCCAGGACTTTCCGCTGGGTTGGGAACCAAAAGGTGGCCATGGATTTGCGAAGCCTTTGGCACAGCTGAAGAGGACTTCTTCTCGCCTTCTTTGGGCGAGGGAGCCCACCCTGGATTTGGCGACCTGCACTTTACAGAGTTGATGATAGCCTCAGTTCTTCAGTGGCACCAATTCTTTTGCCCAGAAAACCGATTCTTGATTCAGGTGGTGGAGTTCTCAGTTCTTCAGTGGCACCAATCCTCTTGCTTTTTTTTGCGGCCCCACGAAAAAAAGTCCGGTCCAAGCCGCGAAAAGGGCCCCCTTGTTGCCGGGGTCACTGAACAACTGAGTAGCTTTCCCTGTAGTGGTGACCCCAAAAGTGTGCACACTTGGTGTGGGCTTGGTCAGCCAAGTGACTTCAAGTGAGAATCTTCCTGAACAACGTGGATTGGTTTTCTGTACATTTCGTCCATTCGGGTTCGTCTCCGAATGGGAAGCTTCCAATTTAGTGTTTTGTTTACACAAAAACGGGTAACCCATAATTTCCCTGCGGCTTCCTTGGAATTCAAATCCAAAACCGGTGCCCCCAGGTGAAACAATCTTACAACTAGCTGGCGTGCATTCCGCTTGCTGAGCAAATGGAGGGCCGGGGCCCGGTCGGCCTTGCTGGCTCTCAGGGAATGAGTTGACCTCAAACTGAACCATCCAACTGGTGGTTTCCCTTCAGGGAATCCCAAACGTTGTATTCACAGAACCCCTCCAACGATTCCCTGCGCAGCAGCATTGGCTCAAAGGGGGAAGCTTGGGCCCAGAAACTCGGAACCGAATATTTCCCCAATACAGCCCCGACAGGTTCGTTTTTTAGTTCCCGGGAGGTGCTCTCGTTCAGAATAACGTGCAATCCCCAACGGTTCCTTGTTTATTTGCAGGGTACCATCGAAGCTCGAAACTGAGCTCGTTTGCCTCAACCGCTTGGAGTCTGTCTAATCTTCGCAAAGGGGTAGTACTGCCTTTGCGGCGCCAAATGTATTTGTAGTTTTGTTTTTACCACAAGGGTCAGACTTCAAATGAGGGGTGTCCAATAGGGAAATTGCGATTTCAGGTTTCCATCGACTTCCCTCGTCTTCACTGTTCTTGAGAAAGTTGATTTGATGTTGTTTGGTTCTGTTCATGTTTAGTCGGGGGCTGCAAAAGCAAGGTTGTTTGCTACCATACCACCATTCAGGGTTGTTGCTACCATGAATGGCATGTTTAGTATGGGGCTACTGTTGCTAGAATCAAAGTCGGGTTTTGCAGTTGTCTTGAATGGCATGGCGTGTCGCAACCATGGCCGGCCTCCTGCTACTCTTCCGGCGGCCGGACAGTCGAGCATTCACGAGATGGCGGCCGAGAGGAGTAGGGGGGGGGGGGGGCAACGATCCGTTGATCGTTTTAGGAGAAGGTCCTCGGCCGTATTTATTTATTTATTTATTATGTTTTTTTTGGGGGGGGGGTCTAGTATGTTCTAGTCCGCGTTTTGTTTTTGAGGGTCTATTGGCTCTACTGCCTGATTATTGATTAAGAGCCCCCGCAAACCTTTACACCCCATGTCGGAAAGCTGCGTTGACAGATAGCTTCCTTGGAGTGCAGACGTAGGGCCCAGGTTTGGACCTGTTACTTGACATAGCTTTGGTCTCAACATCTCCAGTTTCTGGTGCAGGAAAAGGGACAAGAAGGGGAATTCGGAGCCAAGTTCCAAACTGGAAAAAAGCCAGGGGCCTCAAAAACACTTGCTCCCCAAAGAAAACATAATAGATAGACAAAACAAATAGAAAGACAACCATACAAATAGACAAATAGATAAATCGAACATTAGATGCATACATGCATACATGCATACATGCATGCATACATACGTACATACATACATACATGAAATACATACATACATTAAATACATACTTCTTCTTTTTTCGGGGGAGGAGGGGTGACCTGGCATTTTGTCCCATAGCCATGGGGCGCATGCCAGGATCCGTGAGGCAGCTGTCCACCAGCCGCCCTGCGCTGAGGCATGGGATCGTTGTCACCGGTCCCTTGCCCCCGTAAGATGTGGCACCTCCCATTGGGCTGCCACGTGTTTTCTTCAGGTTGGAACGGGGTGTTTTCTTCAGGAGGGGGTGCCCTTGGACTAGTGACTAGTTGGGACACCGCGCTGTCTTTGGGCATGGCAAGCCTGAATACTTAGCCATGCCAAGGGATGTTTCAATCCGCCCAGGGAACATTATTCCCCTTCCCTCCAATTGGCGGTTGGGATTGGTGGTTTGGTTGGAGAGCAGTTTCCCATTCAGGTACGATGTGGCACCAAGTGGATCGCGGTGTTCTTTCTGGCGTTTTCGTGGTTTCCCTCGGTTGGTTCCAAAAGAGAATCGATTTCACAAGCTGGGATGGGTACCTCCAAATGGGATGCCGCTTGTTTCGTAAGAAGGGGATCGCGGTGTTCGCCTTGCTCTTCCATCCGATGGGAATCGATTTGCTAGCTGAGATGGGTACTTCCAGTCGGGATGCCACTTGTTTTCTTCAGTTTTGGTTGGAACGGTTTGTTTTTCAGGTAATAACCCCTAGTTGGTGGTTTGAATTGGTTTGGGGATTTGAACCCCTTGTGGAGGACCAATGGAAAACCACCCCAAGCCACCAAACATCCAGGCTCCAAGCCACCAATCAGAGGGAAGCTCAGTTTTCCCCTGAGTCTCCTTTGGTTTTGGTCTTTTCCTGGGCTTCGAACAGATCCTTCCGAACCTTTCTCGCGCGTCACAAAAAAAACGGAGCGCGAAATTCGGGGAGCGGCGGGAGGTTCCGGAGCTTCGCCGTTGGCCTGGAGAAGGTGTCTGCTGAAAAGGGGGACGGCTCGAAGCTCCGGAAGCTGCGACACCTCGAGCGCTTTGGACGGAAAAATTTTTGGACCCGGGCGCGCGTGTGTTTTTTTTCTTTTTTCCCCCCGTTTTCTACGGAGGGCTGGCGGTTTATGTTGACCCCAGAATGAAGTTCAACCCCAATTTGTTGACAGGGGGGTGGGGGCCCCTGCCAAAGCGGTCTGATTCCCAAAGCCAGCAATGGACACCCCCCTGTTTGTAAACTGGGGTTGAAATTCATATGGGGTCAACGTTTTGTGGTTGGCCCGGAAACCAAAGAGAAAGCTGCCGTGTTGGGGGGTTCCCGAAAGGCAGACCCATTCCAAACCCCTGCAAGAGGTTGCTTCCGTTTTCCCACTTTTTGAAGGGGGTGAACCCCCTTTAGAACCAACCGCCAAGATAGAGGGGTCTCGGAAGTCGGGGGGGAAGAAAACCCGTCATCTACTCTTCACCGTTCTTGGCATTTGTTTCAGTTGTTTAGTTCTGTTTGTTTAGTTCTGTTCATGCTTAGTGGCTCACATACCAAGGGTTGGAAAGGTACTGTAGCCAGTTTCATAGCCATCACTGTCCATCATGCTCTAAACGCTTATGCACCCTATACCATATTGCAATATATACTGTATTACATACATAGGCATCATACCATATCCTTCTAGCATTATTTTCCGGGAGAGGAGGTGTTGGTACCCAGTACGTCCTTCAGCCCGTTTGTCAGGGACGTCTTCAACTCGGTGGGCAAAGGAGACTTGCAGGCCGGGTTGGGCAAACATCACTTGACGCTTGGTCATAGTAGGAGCGAAGCCCCCCACTTGCTTCAACATCCTCAAAATGCCACCCACAAGGAATTGCTCCTTGTTGGAAAATCCAACAAGGAAATAGCCAAGCTGTTCTAGACACCCAGTTCCACCCCCACCCACACCCACTAAGATTAGGGGTTCTTAGCAGACGGTGGACCCCGTTGCTGGGTGCTTCTTAGGCCCGAAATTTTGAACTGCCCCGTGCTTCTGTTCTTTTTCAGACCTACTGCGCAAGGGAAGCCCGAGCCTGGTTGTGCCGAGGCTCTTCCTCTCGGGAGTAATTGTGTTTTTCTTTTCGAGGCCTTTTCTGAGCCACGGTGCGTATAATAAACCAAGCACATAGTTTGGACATGTTTGGATGCCCCAACTGCGAGCCTCTTGCTTGTGCTCTGTGTACAGACCCACAGCCGACCTGAAGCCTTCAGGCTTTTCCATTTCTGCTTTAAGTGGTCCTGGCACCTTGAATTGGAACCTTGAACTTGCATGGCTGGCATTGGGGCCTCGGTTCTTCAACCAAAAGGCCACGCAAGTGGCCACATTCAAAAGGTTGGGTTACACAAAATTCTACGGTAAAACAGCTGATTTAGGGTGTTGTGGGGCCGTTTTCAGTAGATTTTCCTGCAACCCAACCGATTGACACGTGGCGCACGTGAAACCATTGGGTGGCAGGAGATGAAGGTGGCGCTCAAGCTGCTTCTGGGTCGCCTACCTCGGCTCCAGGCTGGCTGGTTTTGAGGTTTTGAGGCTCGGAGCTTGGGGCGAAGATTCTGCTTCCATTTGCTGAATTGTTTTTTGTTTCTCCCTCTTGGTTTTAAAGGGAATCGATTTCACTACTGGAAATATATGTTTTTTTTCCTCCAGGGGTCTCAACCAAATGGAAGTCTCATTTCCTGAGTTCATGGACTTTCACTTTTTGGGTTTCACCTTTGTGACATGGACCGAAAATGACTACCAAGGATTTTCAGGGTGCGACCTCTGTCATCTCTGAGTTCATGGACTTTAGCCACTGGGGTTTGGTTGCCATATTAATTGGTTGCCATATTAATTGGTGGCAGAACGACTGGACCCCTTTTTTTAGGGGCCATCCGCTCCGGAAGTGAGTTCCTACATTTATGTGGGCAGTTTTGAACATATATTTGAACTGGGACGATTTAGGGTGAGGTCGCCTTTGTGGTTGAGTTTTCAGGGGAAATATGGGGAAGCCCGTCAGTTCCCGCACTGACGGTTGAGTGAAAGTAGATGGCACAAACTCGCCTGAAGGAATTTGTGATCGTCTGCGGACAGAAAGGAAATTGCGCCATGTACTTTCATCACACTGGTGTAGCCATCTTTTTTTGCTGCCCTTTGGTTCGACCAAGCAAACGCTTGGGAGATCAAAGGCCAGCGGCTGTTTTTTTTTTTGGTGGCTGTTCAGCATGCTAAGTTGCTTCGCGTGCCACTTATTTCTCCAGGGAGGCAGGCTGAAAGATGTGTTTTGAACTTTTGGGGCGGGGTTAGGGGTTGCGATCTGCAACTGAGACCTGCGGAAACATAGATGAACAGCCCTCCTGAAATCCCCACACCCCACACCCCCCACCCCTACCTCCCCGCCACCCCCTCACCCCCGCCACACCCCACCCTTTTCCGCCAGGTGGGCGGCGCGGTGCTTTTGGCAGCGGCAGATGAGATGGGCCTTGCGAGGAAATCCCCCAAGGCGAGCCGAAGTGGAGAATGGTGGCGGGGCAATGGGGCAAACCTAGGTGGCCACCTTACAAGGGCCATTGGTTGTTTGGTTTTTTAAGGAAAACAAAGGAAGAGGTCGTGTTTTTCTTTGGGGGGAGGGTCCACTAAAATTTACCTCCCGAGGCTCCGGTTGCAAGAAGGCTTTTCAGAGCCTTCTTAGAGGTTCCTGAAAGGGTTCTGAGAACTTTTCCGGGGGTTTCTGAGGCTGGGGCCACCAAAAATATCCTTAACCCAGTTGAAGAACATGATGTTGAAACCAGCACCCCCCACCACTGCTTGTTGGACAGTGCTTGGGATTTTGGGCATGGGCAAAAGCAGTGGTAGGGGGGTGCTGAAGGGGTTTGTTTTTGTTGAACAAGATTTAGTTTGCAGGGGAGTAGTTCAAACCTCGGAAGGAGCTGCTTTACTTTAAGTTCCTTTTCAAGCGTGGCTATAGTCGAGTGACCCACCTTTTGATTGTTGTGCTTCTACAGAACCTTTTGCCTCCTTTCAGTTTGTATCTCTAGTAATTCAATTATACAGTATCAATTCCTTTTCCTGAGTTGCTGGACTTGGTCCGCACTCAGGCAAGAAGGGTAAGGGATAATTCATTGAGTATTTTGCGGATTTCTCTGCCCTTTTGATTCTGGCGTAGGCTTCTTATAGGTTGATTGTGCGTTTTGGGTAGCCATCTCATGGTGTGGGCCCTTCAAAAAAGGGACCCCCCAAAAAGTGAATTTTATTAGCACTTAGGCCCTAGGCCGGACTAGTCGCCAGTCCCCCTTATTGAATAAGATTGGGGGGCTTTATTGGGGGCCCTTTGACAAGCAGAAGGCAATGTCTCAACTCCTGCAATCCATTGTTTGTCGGTATTTACAGGGGAGTCAGATGATTCCGTTGGGTTCTGAACGGAGATTTCGTCCACAGGTTTTGATTCCATTTGCAGGACTTGATCCTGACGGCGCGTCGCTCAGGAGACCTTGGAGCGGTGGATCAGCGAGGGCCAGGTGGCCGACATCGGCGAAGGCTGGCAGAGGCCGGAGCCCGCAGAGCCGAAGCGCGGAGCGAAAGGAGGAGCCTGGCAGGGGACTTCCAGGAAGTTCAGGTGCTTAGTACTGATCACTTCCTGAGTTCATGGTTTCTGGATTTGGACCATTTTAGTGGCAAACAAGAAGTTTTTTATGTTTTGTTTGCCCTTCCTCTCCGGAAGTGTGACTTTAGGTAGGTATATTTGTTTTGTTCCTGCGGGCCCTTATGGGGACATCATTTCGGTAGGGATTTGAGGTCTCCTCAAAACATGATATCAGAGCCTGGGGTCGTGGAAACTTGTGTGCACTGGCCTTCGGCACGGAAGTTGCGTCTCGCTGTTCGGTCGCGCAACCCTCCTTTTGGATGAGCGAGGCCGTTGAGCTGCATTGTGGGAGGGTCCCGAGTTTCCAAGTCGAGCTGGCAACTTGGCCTCAGGCTCTTGGAAGAGGAGAAGCTGCGGGAAACAGATTGGACGCTGCAGGAAGTTTGGGACGCCCCTCGGCGACCACGCAGTCCTTTGCCATTTTCTGCGAGAGAATAAGTTGGGCGTCGTCTTGGCGGGAAAGACCGCGTGGATACCAAAGAGGTACCGGCTCATGGGGATGCTCAGTATGGGCCAGAAAGTTGACCCATGACTCAAGCCCAGCTTTTGAGTAGGGGGGTTTGTTTGGGTGAAATGTCATGGGGAATCAGACTACTTTTGGAGGGGACAAAAAGACCACCCCCATATTCCTAACCTGAAGTTGAAAAAGAAATCTGAGGTCAACATTGGGAATTCACTTCCGGAGTTTTCGGGTTCCAAGGCTTGAGTCACTTTTTGGGTTTGGTCGACATTTTGGTGGTAAATTGGGACACTTCCGACTTGGATTTTGCGAATCCACTCGATGAAGTGAGCCAACGACTCAAAGACTCAGTTGCCCCAAGCGAATCGACCTTTTGACCTGTTGACCTTTTTTCTCATTTTGTTGTTGTTGTTGTGGTTGTTGTTTTCTCCCATTTGTTGGGTTCTCCCATTTTCAGTCAAGGTTCCAAACGCTTGAGCTTCTATTTCCAGGTCCAAGCTGTGGGACCTCTCCATTGAAAGTGAGCTAAATACCCGTCTTAAGTTGGGCTTGGCTACCTTGAGTTTCGAGGTTTAGATGGGAAGTGAGCCCAGCATAGGTGTCCTTTGTGGCCCTGGTTTACCTGTTGGTTTAATCATGTACCAGGGCCATCTATTTCCCCTAAAAGGACACCTATGGAGCCCAGGCTGTATTTCCAGGTCCTTCTTGGGCTTGGCGGCTTGGCGGCTTGACCATTTTGGCAGTAAGCAAAAGCAACACCTTCCGATCTTGTTTTGCCCATCCACTCAATGACCCCAGGCCTTGAGTTTCGAGGATTAGATTCTAGGGGTAACTTCCCCATTCTTTCCAGGGATCCGAATCTTTCCAGAAAAGCACCAACAACCTTGGGGAAATAGCGATCGGTTTTTGAAAAGAGCGATGGCTAAAATGGGGAATCAACCCTAGAGTGGTGTTGAGTTAGGCCATGTCTCGCTTGGAGTTGTAGCGACTTGAGTCGCTTTTTTGGGGCACAGGTGTGCTTTTGATCGGTTCCTTTGCATAGGAAGTGGATGGGTTCCACTGGTTTTGACTGGTTTTGTTTCTTTTGCTAGGAAAACCCATCTATTGGTCCAAAAGGACGCCTAGGTGTTGGGGTTTCTCCACTCCACCTGACCCACTTCCAGTAGGTTGACCTAGTTCCAATCCACTCAACGACCCCAGGCCTTGGGGGAGATGGCGCGGCTGAAATCCACCGGCGCCCAGTTGGCGCGCGCCCAGCTGGCCGCGCAGCTGGCGCTGGGCTGCGGCAGCTTTCCGGCGGGGGGCAAGTACATCGCGCGGATCCTGCCACGCAGAGAATGATCAAAGAACCAAACGGGGGGGGAGATTTGGGAGATTTGGGGATTTGGGGAGTTGGGAATTTTGAGGGTTTGTGGTGTGGGAAAAAAGGGGGGGCTCTTTTGAAGCGAAACCAAAAGGAAGCCACCATCTTCTGGGGGTCGCACAAAACACCCATTTGGAAACGGTTGCACCCCCCTCGGGCGATGGCACTACGCAATTGTTAATTGTTTTGGGTTGGGGGATTTGGAGGATTTGTGGTGGTGTGGGAAAAAACGCGGGGGGGGGGGGGGGGCGGGGTTGCGGAGTTGTTTTTGCCCAGGCAACCCTCGTCTTTTTGTTGGAACATGGACGCCTACATTACTAAAAAGCATTTGTTTGGGCTGATTTGTTTCAAGGCACCCCCCATTTGCCCTAGTGGGTCTCCTGTTGGTTTTGGGTTCTCCTGTTGGTTCCCCCGTCAACCAACGTGAAAAGGGTGACCACATGGTGTTTGGTTCTTGTTGTTGGTTGGCATGATTCTGTGCAATAGCTGCTTCATTGTTGCATTGTGCATATTATATTTTGCTTCCTACCATTCTCAGGGAAGCTTTGGGAATTTGCACAGTTGTTGGCTTCCTGCCGGAAACCATGTAAACGCCAAGCAGCCAAGGGGGGGGTTGTCGCCAAAGCGAAGGAACCCCCAAATGTACCTCAGCTTTTTCCCCCAATTGTTTTTAAAGGAACCTTAAATAACCTTAAATTCTGACACAGCTGTCAATAAAAACAAAAGTGATCCCACCAGAAAGCAGGGGTAGCGAACAAGGCTTCAAGACCTGGCCGGCGATCGTATTTCATGAACCGTGATTCAGTTGCCAAAGCCGTCTCAAGAGACAAAAGTTTGCAGTCAATTGTTCCCTTCGGTTGGTGAATTCAAGCGAGAACGCAAAGACATTTAAAACACGTGTTTGTTGCTTGAATTGGTAGCCCCATTTACTTGGTTCTGAAGAACCTTTGGTTCCTTATGCGAAACGGAGATCAGAAGGAAGCTAGTTGGCCGCTTACGCAACCATTGATTGAGGAGGTTTATAGAATTTATATCTCCCATTTGTAACCAAACCATTCCGCCAAGAACGCATCCCCATCCAAACTTAGATGGTATTTCCAGGTATGTCATTGTTTTGGTGGATGCTTAGAAGCCACACAAATAAGCTTGTAACGCTGCATTCTGTAGAACAAGTGGTATACTATGCAACCTGGTTGATTGCTTCAACAGCCAAACTGCTTCTCGGTTACTCAGTGACACCCTCTAAATCCCCTTTTGGGTTCCTTGAAGTGGAATCGGCATCTTTCAAAGAAATGGTTCCCATTATTCCACTACCAGGGTCACTGAACAGACTTGAAGCTTCCGAATGGACCCAGAAATGGAAGACTTGGTTCCATTTTCAGAGGGCCAATTGAGGGAGCTTCCATGTGAGGGCGTGTAGCTCGCTTCCCGAGTTCACGGACTTTAGCCACATTTTCGGGTAGAAGTTGCACCATTTCAGCGGTAAATGCGACGTTTGGTGGCCTTTTTGTCGGCCATCCATCCGCTCCACGGGAAGCGAGACTTTGGTGCTTCCCATTCGGCCGGCACCTCCGCGAGCGCTCGCGCGCGGTTGCTTGAGGCTGGGCCAGGGCCTGGGCATCGGGGCCTCGGGGAAGACGGTGGCCCTGGCCTTTGCGCGGCAGAGGCGGGTGCCCAACGGCGAGCGCCTGCTGGAGCGGCGGTTGGCTTGCGGTTGGCTTGCCGGGGCTCAGTTGTTCAGTACCCTTAGTTGTGGTACCAATTATTTTTCCAACTCTTTTTTTAGTGGCCCCACTAAAAATGGTCTTCCCCAAAAAGGGTTCCCTTTCTTTTCATGGTCACTGAACAGCTGAGGGGGGGGGGAGCGAGCGAGCGGCCGGCCGTTTTTGGGGGGCCTTTGGGTTTGCTTGGGGCGCGCGAAAGGGGAAGGAGAGATGGAATGAAGCGTTTTTGGCTTTGGTATTCGAAGAAGGGAAACCACGAGCGGATGGTGGTCGGGGGTCATTCAGAGTTGTGGAAATGGAATGAGTTCTGCCTAATCCCTTCCCCCTCCCGGCCCCCCCCCCCCCCTATTAGTAAATCAGCCTCCGGTGCGAAACATATTTATTAATAGGGTCCTTTTTCGTCTGATGCGGCCCCCGGAGACAAAGATAATTACTCATCCCTGGAAGCGGGCCTAAAATCGATCTTGTCAAATAGTTTGCAATACAAACTTTGAAAGGAACAGACTCTTCGCATTTATTTGGTTTGGGTCAGCACAAATTCGTGCGGGGTCAGAGAGACAGACATTGAGGGCAGCGCATCGATGCCGTTCTGCTTAAGCTGGTGTCTAATTACCAGTTGGTTCAAAACAATACCCTCGGCTTGTTAATTGTTGGGTTGTTGCAAGGAGCTTGGGTCCTGGACGAATTACCCACCTAATAAGGCTGGGGCTGGTCTGGGTAAGAAATCCGAGAGTTTAGTATTGGATTTGAATTGGCCTATTCTAAAAGTAGTATTTATTAATAGGGTCCGTTTATTGAAAAGGGGGAAGGGATTATTTGATAGCGAGCTCGCCGTTCGGGGGTATATCGAGCTGAAGCCATGATAAAAGGTCCTTTGCTTGGGGGTCCAATTCTTGATTCAGCTGTTGGAATAACAGACTAGAACAATGCAGAAAGAGTTGGACGAACGCTTTTGGCTTTGGACCGGGAATAAAGGAAACTGGATGGTTGTTGTCCTTGGGGTTATTCCATTTCCTATTCCGTGCCCATCACCAGCAAGTTTGGGGTTTGGTTTGGGCTACCGGTTTTGGGTAGTTGGACAAAAAGGCAACTCAAGGAAACAGCATGGATTTTGCGGGGTGCCCCAATTGCTGGCACACCCACACACACGCACGCATGAATACCTTCCCAAAGGGTTGGTGGACACAACTTTGCCACCGAAATGATGTCCACCAGAGACCCCTAAATGGATGCTTTCCTTTTAAGATTTCCTTTGAAGTTATCATCGTTGGGGGGTGCCCTAAGTATTGTAGAAATACAGGTAGTACTAGTCGCTGGTTGTTTTTCTGCCTGCACTCTGCACTTTTCTTTTGTTAGGTTCGATGAGGTATCTCTTTGCTTGTAGAGGGCTCCTACTCGCCCAAGCCACTACGCATGGGGGAAAGCTGGATTTATTCCCTTTGTGCAGTGTTAACTCTTAACCGAGGCGCCCCTGACCACGTTATAGAATTCTGCTGCAGGTTAACATGGAATGAGACTTGTAAATTAGTCTTTTGTGGACAAATTGCCGTTTTGGTTTAATCTTCGTGCGGGTTCCATATTCATCACCTTCAGAGGAAAAAAAACACTCGCTAGTCCAAAACGGTACCAGGCCGGGAACTGCACAAGTCCAGCCGCGTGAGTTCGGGCAGGCAATCATCGCAAAACAATCCTGCAGTCTGAGACCCTTCCAGGACATGCTGGAAGTGAACCCAGACATCGACGTCATCGTGGATAAGCTGCTCTGCTCATTTGCTGTGCGCTGAATTCGATCAGCTTTTGGGTGCGTGCCGGCACGTGTTGATCTATGGTTGCCAGTTGGGAACAAGGCCATGGCAGGAGAGTCGTTCTGCTTGGCAGCACATGCAAGGGCCTTTTTTCTCTCGAACTCGGCGTCTTCAGCTCCTCAACTGGTGGGGGGCTTGAACCCCAGTTCCTTTTCAAGGAGCCAACCGGGAAAGTAGCCTCTGACGCCCAAACCACCTTGAGCACTGCCAGAAGGGGTTTTGGCGAGTACATAATTTCCGGTAGCTGGTTACTCACGTCCATTCGTAGGTGGTCCTTTGTGCCTAAATAAAAGCAATGCTATCAAACCAGGTGCAGAAAAAAGGGTAGAGCAGTTGGCTTAGCCGAAGATCAGCAAAGGCGTGTAGCGAACTATCTCGTGGAACATGTTAGGAATATTTTCTTCCAAGGCGCCAATAGGGGATGTGCATTGCTCAGCTGTTCAAGGCAAGTCGGTCTCTTGACATGTTTTGTTTTTCCATTTTGGGATCCCATACTTAGTCCTGGTCCCAGAAGGTGATCACCTTTTATTGCCCGGTCCAAACTGGGCAACTGAGAATTTGTAGCAGTTTTTTTCCAGACTTACCCAGCTTAGACCCTAGGCTGAGCAGCGGAGATTTCTTGGAGTCCCAACTCTTCTCGCCGATCTCCCCGCAGCAAGCGCAGCCTGTGAGGTGCTCAGATTATGGGCCTCGGGCACGTGGTGGGGTGGGGGGGCTAGGATCACCTCAAGGATGAAGCCATGTCCATGTAGGCATGTGATTGCAGGGTGGTTTCTTCATGTTTAGGGAATCGCCTGTATGGCTCGAGCTCCTGCAGGGGTCAAGAGCATCTCACATTATGATTTCGGTATCTCTTGCAATGTGCACGGAACCCGCTACGGGACTTCAAACAACGATGCCCTTTTATGATAGTGCAGTACTGCCATTTGGTGAACTCTGGAGAACTCGTTAATCATGGAATAGATCGTTTCATGTTTGCAAGGTAGTTTGGCTGTGGCTCATGCCTTCGGTGGTTGATTCATTTGGTGGCTTCGCTTACGGCTTGGATGGTGTCTGATCTCCTCACCAGCCTCTGACCTTTCTACCTTGTGGCTTTCCACTGTTGTTGCAACTCCCTGCTTATAGCTAGCTCGTATTCCGCGGTAAAACCGACCCCATGCTGAAGGTCCCGTTTGGGGATTCTCTACAGCTTTTGAATGCTAGATTTCCCAGCTCGACCTTTGGTTTACGGGTGTTTTGGACAGGTGAGAGATTGACCACCCCCCATTGCCAGCTTCTCCTTCGGATTTCCTTTCGCTGAGGCGCGCAGTGTCGAGGAGGTTCAGAAGAAGATGAAAGAGCCCCTCGGAGGGGTGAGTCAACCTGGTACTGGGAACCAAATGTTAAATCGCAGTGTTGGGGTCAAAAGGAAACTGCATTTGCTATAATTTAGCACGCGGGAACATCTCACTCGGCTACAAACACATGTCCGTGTCGATGCAGGAAAGTGCGAGATGTAAGTGCTTTGAACAGACCAAGCACCTTACATGTAGCAAGAAGGCGGCTTCATATCGATCCTCATATCCGACGGAGAGACAGTAACAGCAGGGCCTCTGCCCAGTTGCGAAAGCCACTACCCTCCCACCAACTAACAATGCAGTGCACAAACCCCTGTAGAAAGACTACTTTCCACTTGGAAAGGGGTCCTGTGCACTTCCATGCTAGTTGGTGGGAGGGCATTTGTCCTTTGATTTGCCCTTCTCTCACATTGCCCCTCGGATCAAGAACGGGGGCAATCCAGCCTGGAGATGTGCTCCTGTTGGCTTAACCTGGCTGACCCGTCCGGCCTTACCAAGCCTCTTGAAGGTTTGCGGCGTTGAGGGGTGCGCAACTTGAGGGGCGCAAACGCCGCCCAATCTTGGCGGTTCCCAGCCTAGACTTAAGACTTTTAAGAGCTTAGATCAATTTGTGTGATACTGACCCAAGGTCTAACTATTAGCGATGGATCAAATTGCAAAGCAAAGCAGTCGACTGTCCACCTTTTGGCCTTTCGTGGTCACCACAAACATAGAATCCAACAGAAGATCCTTGTTCCCTTCTGCTTTGCTGTTTGGCTGCTGTTTGGTTGGGTTCTTGACCTCCACCTGTTTGGGAAGCGTATGTTCGCACCAACCAACAAACGGTCAAGCTTTTCTCACAAGAATACGACTTTTTTCAGGTTGGTTGAGCAGGAAGCCAAAAGGAAACCCGCCAATATGGGACCCTTTCTATGTGAACACACGACGTGGCCTTCGCCGAGGACGAAGGGCGGCTGGACGGCAGAGTGGAAGTACGACGGGGAGCGCCTGCAGATCCACTTTGCCAGATCCGAGAAGATGATGCTCTTCTCGCGTGCTCTTCTCGCATGCGATAAGCGGAGGGGATTCGATGGGGGGGGTCGGTGGGCTTTGTGGGTCCATGGTGGTTTTCCTTGTGCTGTCCCACCATTGGTATTTGAGATTTCCAGACTTTGAACAGGTGCCTCACTTTTCTCAGACCCCCTACTCGACGCCTGACCTTTGGCTTCAGCCTCAGGTAACCCCTACTTGGGGGCTCGGATTGATTTTGGGATTTGAACCCCGGGTTCTTGCTGGACATGGGAAACCACCCTCTCCGGGCCGTCAATGCCAATCACCAAGGAGGAAATGACAATCAGGGGCAAGCTGATATTCAAGTTAGGCCCAAAATGATTTCCTTAGCTTCCTAGTAGGTGTGGCATGTGAGGAGTCTGGTTTTGGGTTTCCTTGCAGGCGTGGCATGTGAGGAGTCTGGTGTTGGGATCGAGATGGTTTCATGCCGTTTTTTTTTGCTTTGAAACGGAGCAAATATGTTGGGGGACAGATGAACTGGGTCCTTGTTGTTACACGCCCAGCAAGACATGATCTCGTGCCGCAAGCGTTGTGCCAGTGCGGAAGCTATCTAGAGTCATGATCATGCTGTCATATATAGATGTATGGCATGAAGCCACTTTGAAACAAATCGCATGGGCACATTCCTTTCACTTAGATGTTGCTGACGACGCACGTGCTACCCCAGCCCCCACCGCGCACAAAGCCAAAGGATCTGGTCTGTTATGGGGGATCGGAAGGGGGGCTGTTGAATGTTGAGGCCCACTCCCGTCACAAAACGCAATGGCACTTGCTCTGGCCAAGATACTGAGAAGGTCAAGTCAGCTAACACATGGGAGTTTTGTATCTTGTGTCGTTCAGTTGTGTGCCAGTAGGATTTGCAAGTGCGCACTGCCTCTACTGACGCGCGGGAGTTGGGTTCTTTGTGCTGTGCTTTCTCTCACACACGCAGATGCGCACGCTCTAAGCACGGGATTGTGTCCAAACAGGCGTGCTGGACAGGGCCAGCCTGTGGACCGCGTTCGCACATCGTTTTGACCTCGTTAGTACCTCGTTTCGACCTCGTTCAATTGGCTGGCTACAGCACTGTTTTCGCAAGGTTTCGTGGCAGGTGCAGCACTTTCGCAATTTCGTGACAGGCGCAGTGCTTCCACAAGGCCAGGCGCAGGTCCTGTGGCAGGCGCAGAGCTTTCAGAAGCAGATTTGTGACAGGGGCGCAACAGAGGAAGAGAAAGGGAAAGGCAAGACACAGCGCAAGTGAAAGAGAAAACAAAAAGTAAGGGAAAGAGAAAACAAAAAGTAAGGGAAAGAGAAAGAAGCAAGGGAAAGAAAGAAGAAAGAAGAAAGAACCATGGGGGAAGCTCATTGGTGTTCAGAAGGTTGTGCTTATCAACACACAGGGGTGGCTATGAACAAAGAACTTAGCAACGCTGCAGCGCATGTTGGCAAAGTGCGGTGTGCCAAGCGTTTGAGCAATTTCTATGCTCGCAACCTAACTCAGACAGGCAGAAGCTAATTAATGTGAAATGGAGGTACACCTGGGTGACCTTGGTTGAAGCGTATGTGAAACGCGGTGTGTGCCATCGGGGAAGTGCTTGTTGAGCGCATTGGTGTCAGCTGTTTATTGGAAGGTTGTTGCTTTTTACGCATACAGGTGGCTATGAACAATTCACTTAGCAACCTTTCAGCTTATCTTGGTGAATTGTGGTGTGCCAAGCGTTTGTGGACACGGTTCGAACAATTTCCAAGCTCGCAACCTAGCTCAGACAGAGACAGGTAGAAGTACATGTGAAAGCACATAGGCGCAAGCCAGCCCCGGGGCCGCTCAAGCGTTCGCGGACACGGTTCGGGCAATTTCTTTGCTCGCAACCTAGCTCAGACAGGTAGAATCCAATGTGAAAACACATAGGAGCAAAAGCAGGTCCGGGGCCGCTGGAGGTACACCTGGGTGACCTTGGTTGAAGCGCATGCGAAACGCGGTGTGCCATGTGGGAAGTGCTTCTTGAGCGCATTGGTTGTCAGCTGTATATTGGAAGGTTGTTGCTTATACGCATAGGGGACTCAGCAACATTTTAGCACATGTTGGTGAAGTGTGGTGTGCCAAACGTTTGTGGACACGAATCGGGCGTTGTTTTAACCTCGCAGCCTTGCTCAGACAAGCAGGGGCTACGGTGAAAACACATAGGCACGAACGGGCCGGACGAGGCAGTTGCAACATAAACGCGGGTTTTTCATGCGGTGTGCCAGCAGGATTTTTTGCTTGTGGGGTGAGATCCGGTTGTTGCGGGGTGTGCCAAGCGGTGGGGTGAGATGTGGTTGTGTGGGGTGTGAAGCCGCGCTGGGTCGTACTCAGTTTCCGCCGGCTCTCATGTTAAGGTTACCCCCCCACTTGCCATCCTTGTTGCACTCTGCCAATACCGTGTTTGCAGATTCCAAGAGGGGGAATTACAGGTGGCCATCAAGCAAGTTGGGCAATCTGATTTCGTGCGATTGGCACGCCACCGCGGTGGAGAAGCTGACTTTCATGTCACCCCCCATTTTAACGTACTGATGCAAACATTTGGGGTGGACATTCCCCGCTTTGGGTTTTGATGGCTGCTTCGCTTACAGGGAAATCAAAAGGAAGCCGGCCCTACTGTGGATGGACAAAATCCTGCGCCAGTTGGGATGGGACACCAACTACCAACTCACGCACGATGTTTCTGCACAGTGGGGAGCCACTATTTTAAGGAAGGCTCAAAGGAAGCCAATGTGAGCTACAGTCAGTAGATGAAGGTTGGCAAGGGGTACTCCTAACCAGAATTGGGTACGGCCGCCTTTTTATACATGGTTTTGGATAGACCAGGTGAATGCCGATCCGTTTTGATTATGACTCATGCTTTCTTCGCTCTTCCGCCGAGGGAATCTGAAAACTGTCACGGAGCGGTACCCGCAGATCGAGGAAGCGCTGGAAGAGCAGCAGCTGGAGAGCATTATCCTGGATGCGGAGGTCGTGGCCGTGGATGGAGCTGTTTGGCTGTGGCTGGTGTTGTTTTAGACTTTTTCCTGCAGGGTTACCCAATTTGCCTCTAAAGGGTGTGTGTGGGGGTGTGGGGGTTTGCGGCTGTGGGCTGTCAGTGGGTGTGGGTGTGTGGGTATGTGGGTGTGTGGGTGTGTGGGTGTGGGGGCTACCCAGGTGGCAAGCCCAGCCATCCGGTTCAGCTCAGGCTTTTAGACTATAATATTTAAGTGGTCTAGATAGATGGCCTAGTTTTAGTTTTAGTAGTGGCTAGTTGTAGTAGTTGTCATACTTAAGTCACTGAGGACAGGATCCTGCCCTTCCAGATCCTTTCCCGCAGGCCGCGCAAAGCCACCGACCAGGACGACAGTTCTGACGCTCGGACGCGTGAACTGAAGTTGAAAAACTTCAGTTCCCAGGCCACTTGTGGGTATGTAAATAGGACATACCATCCAAGAGATGGTGGTTTTCCTTGTGGGGCCCCATTTTGGCTGATTCTAAGGGTGCTAAGCTGGATGCCCTTGCATGTTGCAAGTAAACAACCATACTCAACCAGGGTGGACTCCCGTAAATTAGATAGGGGGACCCTGGTTCCCTTACTTGCAATATTTAGGGCATCCGCCGCATCAACGTCTTTTCCTTCACCTACCACTTGGGGGCAACCATTCCATTCCCGTCCAAATTGCAAGCGAGTCCCTTGCACTCCTGTTCAATTGGGAAAATAAATTCTTTAATTCCCACCCTCCAGCAGAGCACTTGCTTGTTATTGTTTCTTCTGCAGAGGGGTACCCTTTTAAGGAAGAGAAAGGCAAACAGCTGCTTTTCTTCTTGGCTACTGGTGTTTTGATTTGACTGTTTCCGAGGGGTATCAACGACCGTGTTTTGGGAAAGGCTTTTCTTTCGACCGCTTCGGGGGTGCCGTTGATGGCAAATCATGGTCGAGCTCCAGCAAGCAAAAGCCCAAGAGGCACAGGATACGCCTAGAGATGAGCACGAAAGGCAGATGCCTCAACTCACAAAGCCAAAGCCGACCTTTTGACCTTGAAGTCCTTTTCACGTCCATTTTGCTTTTGGCACCACAAGATTAGCATGTGTATGGGTCCTTTGGGCAACTGAGTCACAGGCTTTGGAGGTGTCGTGTTGATATTGGATTGTACCAAAGTGATTCCTTGCCTGGTTGAATCCCCGGTTACCCAACCCAAACCAACACATATGCTTGCCCGAAGATGTACATATGCTTTTCCCGGTTGCGCCCAAGAACGGGGGTTGCGTTCCATTGGTTATGCTAGCCTCACGTCAACCCACCAAGGCTTAGTAACCCTCCCAAGTGACACCAATGGACCAACCGGGGGTGGGGGCTCAATGCAGGCTGTGGCCATCTATGCCTTTGACTGCCTTTTCCTAAATGGCGAGTCTTTGCTGCCGCTGAGCCTCCGTGAGAGGCAACAGAAGATGCGCCCTGGCATTGGCAGCGTCCCACTTGGGAATTTCCAGCTCAGTGCGCCCTTGTGCGCCCTGGTTCCCCTGTTGTTTGGCGGGTTCGCTGAAGAGGGTCGCCCCAAGAAAGTATCCTTTTCTAGCAGGGCCACTAGGCGACTGCGATTTTTCCCCTGGGAGAACGATTGTGGGCTGACTTAGGATGCAAGGTGCAAAGCCCGAGAGCCGCCAGGTGGACAGCAAGTAGACACAAGTGCAACTTTAGGAATATCACAAGCATGACTGTAGCCATGTCTGATGGCTTTTGTGCGCACGATCATTCGAGGCATGGCTTTGTGATCAAGGGGCATGGACTGGCTCGAGCTGAAGAGTTTCCGCCATTCCTGAGACCCAAGATTTGCTGAGACTCCCCATGGAAGATAGCTAACCAAAAGGGCCGGAGCTACGCCTACGTCTAGAATGCCATTGCGCTGTCTAACGTTTAGCTCAACCCCGAGTATCTCACACCCGTTGTTCAGGGTGTATGCCTATAGGAGCAAACCCAAGCGAAGGCGTGAAGCCGATCGCTTCGAAAGGATCGCCTACAATCTGGGCACTCTCTAAAAGTTTATTGGGGCCAGCAGCAGCTTTATCCCTTTGAATTCCATGAGGTGTCACAGGTTCTGCAACCCAGGGAAGGTCTAACATGAATGATGAGGCGATATCGGCGAAACGTGTAAACGCTGAGAACTCCCACACTTGCAGGAATGCAAATACCTACACCTTTTGGTGGTACCTGAGAGTTGATAGGCATCGCATTGCATGGAGAAGTGATGAGGAAATCAAACCCAGTCACTTGTGACAAACAGATTGCTGTCTTTGAAGAGTTCTGGCGAGGGGCAGTCAAGGAATCTTTCGGAAGAGGTGCTGTCCAAGCCTCGTGCGTCTGTTTCCGCAAGATTTGCAATGATCGGAGGCCCTAGTTATGGCAAGGGGGTTCAGGTGATTTTCTGCCTAAAAATATATTCCCCCACCCGCAACAAAACATACTTGCCTGAGGGTGGAACGAAGCTTATCAATAGAAGGCAATTGCTTTTCAGGGAGTGTCACTGCTGTCCCTGCATCAGGCTTGCTATTAAGAACGGTAGACAGGGTTGTTCCCGTTTTATTTTGCATACCAGCTTTCAAGAGCCCAAAGCCACACGGGGCTGCGCAAAATTTATGTTTTTTCCTTGAGCCCTGAGCCCCTTGCTCAGAAAAAGAAACATGTCGGTTGCCGTTGGGCGAATCGCTGCGCTCAAAATTCGGTTCGATGCGATCGAGGCGCGAGGTGCTGGAGGAGAAAGGCATGTTGAAGCTGGCGCAAGGGCGGCAATTGATGGAGGAAGGAGACCTGCAGCAGCTTGGTTTTGATGCTATTCGAGCCATGACGGAGATCTTTGGCGCAGTCTCGCTCAGTGCTAAGTGCCCCGTGTGGTTAAGAAGGATGGGTGAATACACCAGAGGATCCTGATGTCATTCACCCAACTGTACATGCCGTATTTTCAATTAACCTGTCAGGTTGGCGGTTGGATTGGCTTGGATTTGGATTTGAAGCGCTGGCTTTTGTAGAGGGTACCTGTGAAACCACCCCCAGCTGATTTTTCCGTTTTTGTGGGTAAGAAGACTGGGTGTCTAAACCAACATGGGAGGCGATCGTGATATGCCGTCCACTTTCCCCCAACTGTACCTGAGCCACAATCAAAACCCGGATAAGTAAAGGTTAGTAAGGGACGATCCCAGCCATAATAAACAGCTGCGGCCACCTTCTTACTTCTTTACATGGTTCTGGGTCGACCATGTTTGTACCGGGTTTTGAGCAAGTGACTCACCTGTTGCCAAACTCCCAGAGCTTTGTGCGTTTGAGCCACCGCAAGCCGCCCTCGCCCAGTTCGTTTTGCAGGTTCGAAAGCGCTGCACCCACAAAGGGGATCCGATCTGTCTTAACACAATAGCGGAGGGTTTTGGGGTTCCATGCGACACATAGGAGAAAAAGGGGCCATTTTGGGTCCTATGCTTGGCTCAATCTGTTTTCCCTAGTTCGCAGGCCCAATTTGGGGGAGTGTCCACCTTAGGCTCAGCAGTTCCATGTATTTCGCTGCGTTCTGTTTCGGATTCATGCTTTTGGGGACGATCGTTTTAGTGTTAAATAAAAGGTCGGACTGTTTGTGGCCAGTTCACTCAGGAAGTGTGTTGTTTTTTTCTCTCACTGGTGGAACCGCCCCAAAAGCGGAAACCGTCCCTGCCTTCAGGTTTAATGGTTGCGCTGGGATTGAACTATATGTGGATGTACTTTCTCAATGAAGCAGGCGTTACGCCCAATTTGCAGTTCGAAGCAGAACTGCCATCCTGCGGGTCTACAGTTCCCTGAATATTTCAATCAAACCACGTTAAGTTATGAATTTGCATAATGTTCAGACTTATTGTTTGTCATTGTCTCCATATACCAAGGTGCAATTTTTGGTATTCCTGCATTGTTTCCACAGCCATATGGGTGAGTGTTAGTATAAGGAGTTGAGCCCCAAAATCATGGCTTTCTGCTCAGCTTTTCAAGCTGACAAGTCTACCTTGTTTAAAGAATTCACCAAAAAACACCGGCTAAGGAACTCCAACCAGGAAACCCATCAAACTACACCTAAAGAAGGCACCAGGAAACCCACCTGGTACACGTCAAAGGGAACCCCCGAGGTAGTGTTCCTAGCACAGTCCTGGCCTTCGTTTCTTTTTGAACCGATGGATCGATCGATCGCGATCGCGGCCTCGAGGGGGGGCTGTAAGGCAAGCGCTGGAGGACTCCATCGCGGCTTCCACCGAGGGTCTCATGCTGAAGAGTCTCAGCGCTCGCTACAAGCCGCCCGGACGTACACCCGAAACCAAAACGGATGTGACAGAAAGCAGGAGGGTATTTGGATGCATCGTTTTCTTGAGGGGAACCCTGTGAACAGGAAATCAAGCTTCTAAAATCAAATGTTCCGTACATATTTTCAGTTGCTGATTATGTTTATTCACCCAGATATCAGCTGGTCTCTTTCTTTCTAGTTAATTTTGTCGTGGCTTTACTCTTCTCAGCTGGCTTTGTTTTCTGACGGTCTTTGATTATTGCTTGTCTCTTTTTCACAGGTTATAAGATCAAGGGGCCATGTACTGCCGTTGCCGCCCCCATGTTCCTATACTTCACTTTTGGCCGGATTCAGGAGGACCCACAGGTTTAGGCCAACCACCGTGGCAAAATGGTTGGGATCAGTTTATTTCTAGGCCTGTGGCCTAGGGAAACCATCCAAAGGAATTTGGTCACAGAGGTGACCCATGCTGGACTGTACAGAAGAGGGCCTGTCGTTTGAAGCCAGGGCGGCTTTGGGACTTTGGGAACAGAAATCGGACCTCGAATTTAGCTTCCCTTTATTTTAGAGGTCCCAATTTTGCGAAGCCTCCTGGCTCTGCATCAGCTGGGAGTGGCCTAACACCTTTGCCAAGCATCTCGGTTGCTAAAGTGCCCTCTTCAGCTTCGGGAAGCTCATAGGCCAGCCGACTGATTTTTTCAGGCCCGGCCCGTTTTTGTTCCAAGACACGTCCAAGGGCCTGAGGGAGAAAGTCGTTTCACACAGAAAAGTCGGAGGGGAAAAGTTGAAGGGCTTTTTCTTTTTAATTGTCCGACTCTTTAGGGCACGATTTCCAGAACTCCATGGGACCCATGTCTCAGGCCCGGGGCGCGGACGAGAGAGTGGATGAAGCTGAAGAAGGCGCCGAAAGCTGGGGGGTTGGGTTGGACTGGCTTCCCCAGATGCCTTTGAGCGGGGGGTTATGTGAAGACATGCCTGGGGGAACTTGCTACGAGCAAAATGAGATGATTTTGAGGTACGTTTAGACATCACCGCTTGGGCCAACTTGAGGTGAACTTGTGGAATCACATTGTTTGGTTGAACATAAAGGCCTCACTTCCGCAGTTCCGTTTCGGACGCAAGACATTGCCTAGATGCGTGACCTTTTTATAACTGTTTCCCTTTTTTGGTTTTCCTTCATTTTTCGTCAGCAAGAAGTTTCACTTCCTGCAGGGGGTCTAAGTCTAGTCAAATGTTTGCATGGTTGTTGTTGGGAAACATTTCACATTTTTGCTTATTGTGGTTTAGTGGTTGAAATCCAACCAATTAACTGCTAAAGTTTAATTTGTTGCTCCCCTTCCAACGTCAACCAAGTTTGAGAAGGCCATTAACTGGCCAAGAGGACGCACTGACTTGGATGCCCGAATCAATCCAGTCAGGAAGCGAGAAGCTCTTTCAGTCGTGTCCGATGAGGTCCACTTGTTCAGTGGCACCCGAATCACCCGAATCTTTTGTTTGAGTTCGGGACCAACCCGAACAGGGGTCCCTCGTTGTTTTGCAGACAGGGTCACTGAGTTTTTGTGTTTCTTCTTCGGCCGCCGTTTGAGCAGCACTTTTGAAACCCATAGGGAAGTATGAGCCTTGTCACCGGACCTGTTTCGGATTGTTCGAAGCCGCAAGGACTACCTGGATAGCAGCCTCAGCCCCTTGGCATACGAGGTACGAGGGCATTGGCCGGGTGTATCTTGGAAGCGTCTTCTTGGCTAAGGGAAGCCAAGAGGTTGATTCTCAAAAGTTTCCTGTTGGGTTCCTTTTTAGATATCAAGTCAACTACAACGGGGTCCTCCATTCTCAATCACAATCGAGGGGTCGCCGTGGGAACGTACTTCCCCACCCCACCTGAGCAAGCCTTAGGCGACAACAAGCTTACCATGATGTTCGTGTGGGGGGGGGAATGGGAATGTGCAGATCCTGTGGAGTTGTCGTCTCTCGTCGGATGGCTTTTCTTTTTGACTCGGTTTCCTTCAGTGTTTCTCCTTGTTTGCGCCAGCGCCAATCTCGACTTGGTTGAACTTGAGTTCGACTTTTGACTGGGCCTTTCTGGCTGGCTAAAAAAACGGTTAACGCAGTTCATCGGTGTCCAGGTTAGTTGGTGCTAGGATGGCTTAGCCATGGGGTCAACAGCAACCGTTCAATTGGTAAAACGCACCCTGCTGGAAGTTCGGCGCCTCCCGCCAACCGAACTATACGTTATGATGTTGTCTTGTTCTGGATTTAAATAGGTCGCGTGGAGGGTATAACTGGCAAAATTCCCTTCTGTTGTGGTTCGGCCACAAGAACTTCGGAAATTGGCGAAATGTCCACCAAGAACCCTCGGATTCCCTGTACAATGTCATGTTTCTTGCCTTACTCCCTGCGGTCCTGGCCTTTTTTTTTTTTGGGGGGGGGGGGTTGGACCATTGTATTGGTAAACAACCACTTTGGTTACAAATTGTTTGGCCATCCACTCCAGAAGTGCGTTGCATTTGTTCCCCGATCCGTCTCTCAACCGCCGTCTCGCTCGTGGAGCGAGCTCTCGCTGGAGGCGACTCCATCGACGCGGTGGTGGTGGGAGTGAAGCGCGGCCAGGGGCAACGCAGCCAGTACTACGGCTCCTACCTGCTCGCCGTGAGGCCCGGGAAAAATCATGAGGCGAAGTTGTCGGTCTTGTTACTTGTTTCTTAAAAAGTGGGGGTCATACTATTTTGACGTTATCTGGTGGTTAAAGTCAGAAGTGGGTTTCCCCTTAGCTCACCAAGGGGTGATTTTGAGGGTAACTTAGTGGGGCCAGTTTTCGTGATTGCAGTTGGAGGGGTTCAAGAATTGCCTTACATCGCCGAACGGATTGTATGGGGGCTTATCTGAAACCGATTGGCATGCATTTTTTCCTTGGTGTGTACATGGAATAAGGGTCCTGGGGCTTGGAGAACGCTCCAAGTTTACCAGCTTCGTGCAAACCTCCAAGCTGAATCCCCGAGACCAGCGGCACCCTGAGGGCGCTGAACTAGGGTTCGGCCAATCACTGAGTTATTTATTCTTTCAAATGCGTTTCACGTTTTCCCTTGGAATCCCTTGCCCCTAGTAAAAGCTCCCCCAAACAAGAAATCAACGAGGAGTAACACTTAGATTTTCAGTGATATCCGGCCTCCACAGTAGCAAAGTAAGTGAACTAGTAACTTAATAGGAAACAACAACTTGTTCTTCTTTCAAAAGCCGCGCTTGCTGACTGAGAATAGAGGATCCCCGGGTATCAAGTCAGTGAAGGAGGGGAAATCTGCAAATCAGTATTGTGTGACAGCATTGGGCCCACTGGGGTTTTGAATGCTTTGCTTGTATTGTTCGGGGGCCCTTCAGTATTAGTTGTGTCCGACGAATGACAAGTCCAAAAGCGTTTCAACCACTATTGCGACTGTTGCTCGAACAGGACCGCGCCCCCTGTAGACTAAAGACTGCGTTGCGAGACAAATCTAAGCAATCATGTCTTTGTAAAGAATGTGCATTTCCTTCGCGACACGCTCAACGAATCAGAGATGGGACAGCATGATTACCTTCGTGGCAGGGGCGCGCAAGCTGCGCTGTGTTTAACCACGCCCGAACAGTTCATGTCGAGAGGAAGCCGTTGTTGTGGGCTTCTCATGTGCTCCAGGCCTTGCTGCTGGTTGAAGCTCGGTCAGCTCGCTGTCAAGGAAAACAATGTGTTTGAAACTAGAAACGGCTTCCTGTGTGCCTTCATGTGAACAGGAGGGGGGTGTCTTTGGTGTGACCGACTAGCCGCCTAGACCTTTTTGGCATCGACCGGCTTTTCCGGTTGCAGAAATGTATAAACGGTCGATCACGACTTTTTTGCTCGCCCGATGGGGCGGGAGCAACCCAGCGCTGGAGTTAGCTACTGCAGCGCTGTTGGCAGCTTGCCGGCACCAGGAAGAGCACCCGGAAGCCCGCAAAGTACCAGACGATTTGTGCTGTGGGTGGCCTCACCAACGAGGACCGATGCGGCGTGGTGTTCACAACCAAGAGAAAACAACTTAACCAGACGCAGAGCCTCCCGCCGAAACCCGAGGATCCCTCAAGGACCTACTTTCAAGGGTTCAGCTCCATTTACCAGTTGTTTTTGAACATGGCTGACTTGCACTTAGGGGACACTGCAACACAATGAAGGACTCAAGGCTCATGCGAGGCTACGTAGCCCATTGTTTTTTCTTCATAAACTACACCCAGCACATGGGTAGTTGTGTGTGACACCAGACATTCAGATCCTGTATGGTCCATGGTTGCCCATCCTCCTGTCTCTTGACCATTTGTTTGCCTCTTGTGACTTTTGGCGTGGTGTTCCTCCCCTTTAAACCAACTTGAAAGGGTGCCGTCAAAAACAAACACAAAAACAATACCGAAGCCAAATCAAGAAAGCAAGCAAACAAAAACAAACAGGCAAGAAAGCAAGCAAACAAACAAACAACAAACAAACAAACAAGCCACGAACACATAAACAAACACACAAACAAACACACAAACAAACAAACAAACACACAAGCAAGCAAGCAAGCAAGCAAGCAAGCAAGCAAGCAAGCAAGCAAGCAAAGCAAAGCAAGCAAGCAAGCAAGCAAGCAAGCAAGCACGCAAGCACGCAAGCACGCAAGCAAGCAAGCAAGCAAGCAAGCAAGCAAGCAAGCAAGCAAGCAAGCAAGCAAGCAAGCAAGCAAGCAAGCAAGCACACACACACACACACGACCCGAGGGTGTGTTGTTTCATGCGTTTTCGAAGTTTTCGACTGCAACATGGGCTTCCTGCGCAACGGGCCGCTTCCCTAACAACATTCATTGAACACATTGGCAGGCGTGGGGGGAGCATGCGCTTCGGCTTCGTTATTTTGAGGTCACCTTTCAAATCTCTCTTGAAGGCTGCGGAATGTGTTTGCATGTTCTTTTCTGCTCTCGCACCGACTTTCCTAAGTGTCATTCAGATACTGTGCGCACGGGTTGGCCATGTGCTGGACGGGATCGCTTGGGTGGGGTGCTGACCATGTCCTGGACGGGATTGGATGCTGACCATGTGCTCAACCGGACCATGTGCTGATTGATGGCATTTTGTTGGGTGCGATGACAATGTGCTGGACTGCATCACTTTGGCGGGCCGGGATGGCAGCTCGCGAAGTGTGAACAAGCAAACGAACAAACAAACAAACAAACAAACAAACAAACAAACAAAAAACGAAACAGCCAACAAACACACACACACACACCAATAGCAGGTTGCAGAAGAAACGATCCTCTCCTTCATTTTAGCTTCTGGCCCCAGAAGCTGGCGGAGTACTATACGCAGTGCGAGCGCTTGGTGGGACGAGACGCCGAAAGCGCACCAAAGTTTTTGGAGACCTCTTCAGCGATGTCTGAGCGCCTGGCCCCGATTATGCTTACCTGCTACCTTCCCGTCCATGGAACCTCACAGAAACGTCCTGGCTTGGGCCACCTTGCTTTCAAAGGAGCAGAGGCATGAGGTTCACGTCCAATCTCCGCATGGCAATTGTGTTGGGTCTTTGAGTCATTGAGACTTTTGCCTTTTAGGAACAGTCCCACGAAGAACTTTTGACCTTGTCCGGGATTGTCAAACTGCCAAATATTGCTTCCCTTCATCCCGGCCGCCAAGCAAAGTCAGGCTGCAATTGAGTGGAGACTCCTGATTGCTGGGTGGAAATGATCTAGTTTACGGTGATATTGTTGATTGGATTCGAGGTATTCCACAAATAGCTGGCCTGTGCGGGGTGGAGCGCTGGTTTAACCGTTTAGATGGCTTCACTTATTTGTTACTTGTTTGCGTGATGTTCCCGTTGGTTTCTCCCGAAATGCGTAATTTAGAGGAAGCCTCTGGCGGGTTCCATGTTCGTGGGCGACAGGGACACACTCATGTTCACACATATAGGCAGGGCATAGGGCAGTTTGGAGATTAGGCTTGGTTCTGGCGCTTACTTTCTCCGGGCGCGAAATTGCCTTGAAAGTTGTGAGCCACCATGCCCAGGGCCCTCAGATGTCAGTACGGGCAGGTGGGCAAAACGCAGGTTACCTCCCGACCATGTTTGGGAAGTCTACCAAACAAGCCGCAGCTTGGTGTCCTTCGTGTTTTGCATGGAAACCCACGGAAAGTCTGGGAGGCCCCTGCGTTGGTGGTTTTAAATCCTCACATTGACTCGTTCAAGGTGTAAGCCTTACCCTTTGGCTCATTGTAGGGTGATGTTTTTTGGTTGGAACTCAAGTTTGGGACGCAGGTGGCTTTGGATCCAGGACATCTCCAAGGCGCCGGTGATGGACACTTGGATATGAATTTCTGCGATCCGGCGAACGAGGCTGAAAACCATGTGAAATGTTAGTTCTTGTAGTTTAGGGTAGTCTAATATGGAACAAGAGTGTGGTGTTGGCCCGGCTGGGGGCAAGCCCGCCCAGACTTTTCACCGAGATGTTTTTTCGGCGGTGTTCGCAGCAGGTTGGCCAAAGTGAGTCTCTGAGTCGCTCGTTCCAGGAAATCACCGGCGCAGACCTGACGCTATCCCAAACGCATTCCTGCGCCAAGGGCGATGTGGGAGAGGAGGACGGGAATTCGGGGGGTACAGGTGAAGGGTACAGGCGCGCGCACACACACACACCCACCCACCCACCCACCCACACACACACAAACACACACAAACACACACACACAAACACACAAACACACACACAAACACACACAAACACACACAAACACACAAACAAACACAAACACACACACACACACACACAGACACACACACACACACACACAAACACACACACCCACACCCACACCCACACCCACACCCACACCCACACCCACACCCACACCCACACCCACACCCACACCCACACGCACGCGCACACGCACACGCACACGCACACGCACACGCACGCGCACGCGCACGCGCACGCGCGCACGCACACGCACACGCACACAGCAACACGCACACACACGCACACACGCACACACGCACACACACACACACACACACACACGCACACACACGCACACGCACACACACGCACACACACACGCACACGCACACCCGCACACCCGCACACCCGCACACCCGCACACACGCCGCACACGCCGCACACACGCACACACGCACACACGCACACACGCACACACACGCACACACACGCACACACACGCACACACACGCACACACACGCACACACGCGCACACACGCGCACACACACGCACACACGCGCACACACGCACACACACGCACACACGCACACACGCACACACGCACACACGCACACACGCACACACGCACACACGCACACCACACACGCACACACGCACACACGCACACACGCACACACGCACACACGCACACACGCACACACGCACACACGCACACACGCAACACACACACACACACACCCTATCATCGCATCCGCACCTCGTACACGCACACATGATGAGTACCTACTTTCCGCGCCTTCCACACGTACCTTGTTTGTTGAGTTTTCATTACACACGAAAGCACTACTCTTGAAACTAGCGAACTTAGAAGCTGCGATTTGTAAGCTGGAGCTGCCAATGTGTACCCCTACCCCACTTGTACTGACAAGTTGCGACGTGCGAGCTTGAGCTGCCTAAGTGCACTTCGTGTACTGACAAGTTGTGTTTCCCAGCTGGGAACTGACAAATTGCAATTGTGCGAAGCCCTAAATGCGATAGTAATGCGATGAGTCGCGTTGCCATGTAGTAGCATTGGCGTTCTTTCGGGAGTGGTCGCGGTTGGCGTAGGCACACAGCCAACAACACACACTGCCCACCTGAAAATCCACCCAGATCAGAGTCATTGTGCATGGTTCGCTCGCAGCTCAATCGTTGACCCTTGTTTCGGGTAAGGGAAGTACTGAATGTTCAGATCGGTGCCGAGACTGGGGTTGGCACATGGGCGGCCCACTTCGCCACCGAGGAACAGGGAGAGCACGATTTCACACAACCATCAAGAAGAAGCGACCTTCCGGACTTTTCAACACGGAGGCCTGTCAATAGAGTGCTCCCATCTGGTAAGCAACACATGCGTTAGTTTAGAAGAATCTACTGGGTTCCCATCATGAAGTGGATTCAACAGCCGCAGTGAAGCGCCCCCGGACAAACTGTGTGGCGTTTCAAAGTGGAGGAACCCCTCTGTCAGTGGTCAGATGGCTTTAGGTGCAAGGGCGGGCAGAATGAACAAGTCCCCAGCCTGGCAAACATGTGGTTTTGTCGCATTTTGTTTGGGGGGGTTTTGGCTGACAGCCAAGCTGACGCTCATTTGGGGGGCTTTCAGTCAGGACAGGGGCATCGGGCTCCGATTCCCGCGCGTGGTGCGCGCGCGCCCGGACAAGGGCGCAGAGCGCTTTGGCTTTGGCAGATCCGGCTGAAACCGAGCCATTACCCCAAGGAAACATGGGGTGAGACTCAGTTGTTCGAAGCGAATCGACCTGAAATGAGCTTTCGTTTTTTGGTTTCTCTTTTGAGGTCCATTTTTTTGAGTGAAATGATCTATGTTTCGAGGGTTCTTCTGACGAGTATGAACATTGGCTTGCAGCCAGATTGGGGGAAGTGTTTCCCCAACGAACCCGCGAACTGAGAGTAAACGAAAAGGCACTTGTGACCAGGCAAGCGACTACCGCGGCGCAGATCAAGGACATGTACCTGAACCAACCCTCGGTGCAGAGCGCCACAGGTGCGCGGACAGCGAAGGCAAAGAAGGCGAAGAGCAAAAGCTGCAATCTGGGCTTCCGAAGGTGATTGCGGCCGAAATGGGCTGTTTTTGTGTGAGGTTGTTTCATATGGAAAAACATCAGGTACCCCCTCATTGGTGCTTTGGATCGGTGGTTGCGGGGGTTGAACCCCAGTTCCCGAAGCCAAATGGGGGTTCACGCAGAAGTTAATTTCATGGCACTTAGCTGTCTATTCGTTCTGTTGAGCTGTCAGGGTTTTCATGTTGTAGCGGTTAGTTGAAAGGTGGAAAAGGTACGGAAGGAAACCGCTGGCGGCGGCGGCGGCAGCGGCAGCTGCAAGGTGCTCCCGGCTGCTTTGCTGCCTGCCGCTAGCAGTTGGCGGGCTCTCAAGTGTAAGCCCCTGTTTGAAACCGCTGGCGGGCATCCTTCGTTACCCATTGGAACTTCTTTTTTCCGGGCTGCTATCAAAGAAGGCCAAAGATTCAAACATGGGCGTCTGCATTCAGCCATTATTGCTGGACACTGATTCTTGAGCTCAACCCGCTGCCATTTACGGCAACAGACCCAAAAAGGGCACGTTCTCTGACGGGGTAGCGCGGCATGCCGCTCATCAAAAAGCGGCCAGCTTCAAGCAACCAGGTCAGACCCCCCAATTAACTTTCAACATTCCTCCCCTTCTAAAATTGAGGTGGCGCTTTTCCAAGATGAAGAAAGTGAAGCTGGAGATCCTCCAAGCAGCCCTCGACCAGGCTTAAACATGATCAGGAACAGTTTGATTCCCCTCAATTTGGCTGGCAGCTTACGTTTGATGTGTGAGCCTGCCCAGGACGTTGAAGCGACAGACAACTGATGATGATTCTGACTTTGCACCATATCCCCGGGCAACACCGCGCCCGCAGCGGCACAGTTGAACATAGCATTGCTCACTGATAACAAGCCACAACTCGCGTCGACGCCAAGGCACGACCTCCCGGGCACTTTCTATGAGCTATTTGACTGGCCAAATGTGATGCTCAAACAGTCTGAGAGTCTTGGCTAACTTTGGAGTTGCGCAGCTTCTGTGCGAATCAAACCCTTGCTCACCAGGTCAATATTAGGAGCATCTTTCATGGCGAGCAAGCTGGCCAACACACCAGTAGCTATGGACACATGGTTTACTGGCATTGACTGCGCAGCTGCCGCGATTGACCAGCTCATTCTTTGCGGCTGGGTCAACCTCTTTTCTGACAACCTCAGGGGCTGGACAGTCATGTTTATGAGGGATCTGCTTGCAAGAGAATGGGACTGCGCACCTTCGTGTCTGCCTTTTCCTCCTTCTCCAGCTTTACCTTCCCTCTTCGCCGGGATCGTGCTTCACCTTGGGTTCAAGAGCCTCCTTCACGCTGGCCACACAGGCGTGAAGCATGGGAGACTCCATGACCCCCGACGCGGGCTTGGGCCGCAAGCCTGGGGCGGGGCGTGGAAAATCGGCGTGGGTCAAAGTAGTACTCAAAGAAAATCGGCGTGGGTCAGGCTGGGGCTAAACCAAATCAGCGTAGGTGGCGGTCAAATGCCATCAACATCAGCGTAGGTGATGGTTGAACAACGGCAATGCCTCGTCCCTCGCTTTACAGTTCGGGGAGCGCTTGGCCTGGCTGTTTCCAAGTAAAGCCTCATACTCGAAGATTGTCGGTCCACCGATTTTCTGAAGCAAAGTCCTCACAGAAATCGGTGGGGTTCGGGTGCCGAACAGCGCCGTAAGCTGCCAGCCAAATTGAGGGGAATCAAACTGTTCCTGATCATGTTTAAGCCTGGTCGAGGGCTGCTTGGAGGATCTCCAGCTTCACTTTCTTCATCTTGGAATAGCGCCACCTCAATTTTAGAAGAGGAGGAATGTTGAAAGGTAATTGAGAGGTCTGGCCTGGTTGCTTGAAGCTGGCCGCTTTTTGATGAGCGGCATGCCGCGCTACCCCATCAGAGAACGTGCCCTTTTTGGGTCTGTTGCCGTAAATGGCAGTGGGTTGAGCTCAAAAATCAGTGTCCAGCAATAATGGCTGAATGCAGACGCCCATATTTGAATCCTTTGGCCTTCTTTGATAGCAGCCCGGAAAACAAGAAGTTCAAATGGGTAACGAAGGGTGCCCGCCAGCGGTTTCAAATAGAGGCTTACACTTGAGAGCCCACCAACTGCTAGCGGCAGGCAGCAAAGCAGCCGGGAGCACCTTGCAGCTGCCGCTGCCGCCGCCAGCGGTTTCCTTCTGTACCTTTTCCACCTTTCAACTAACCGCTACAACATGAAAACCCTGACAGCGCAACAGAACGAATAGGCAGCCAAGTGCCATGAATTTAACTTGCAGCCAGGCCCTTGAGCTCTCAGAAACTTTAACTTTGCAGATGCGATGTTTGCTTTAGTCATGGCCAAAAGCTTTGACCTGTGAACAATGTTGACCGCCGGATGAATAGAGCCTGTTTGTAAATATGGGGGTGTTCCCCTCCAAAACTTATAAATTTCAGGAACACCCCCGTATTTTAAACAGGGGTTTATTAATCCGGGGTCAACATTAAACTATTTGCCTGAAATGCAAAAGAATATCCAAGCTGCCAATAAGATTGGGTGTCGACCAGCTTGCCCACGAATCACCCCTTGCAAACGATGAATGCTGACCCCGGGTTTTTTAATCCAACCCATCCTGTGAATAGGTGGGGGTGTTTCCCTCCAACAGTGATGTTTCTTCACCAAACCGAGGAATCCCCTATATTTATATATTTGGGTTGATTAATCTTGAATCATTAGTATCCGCGTTTTCGTTGTTCTATGTTTCATTTTGCACAACAAATAAACTCGATCCATGGACAAACTTAAGACAAACACGCAGACCCGAACGGGACTTGTTGTACAGGGAATTCAACAGCAGATGGGTCAAGCAAGAATTGGTGCGTTTGGACAAATTATACTCAGCTTACCCATGGTAAAGCTTCCTTATTTGGGGTTTCCTATTTCATGTTTCAACATGTTTAAAGGGGTTGGCCCGCTAGAGCTTAAGTCTACCCCCCTTGAGTCATTCTCGCAACATTCCTTCAGGGTTTCTAGCATGCCTTGGTTCACACTCCCACTAGCCTTGGCAACCTACAAGAAGGTTCTAGCCGCAGCTTCCCCATTCTCTTCAGGGATCCTTTCCTTGAAAACACGAGCCAAGGCCCAGGGAAAACGGGAGGTTTGTAAGGAGAAGCATGGGTGAGGAGAATGGGGGATTCAACCCTCGGAAAAGAGACTCTTGATGAAGCAACTTTCTCTTGGTTTCCAAGTAAGGGGTGTTTGTTGAAGGGACCACTTTTCTCGTTGGGTTCCAAGGGCCGAGAGAAGAGCTTTGCAAGTCTTCCCGGGCACTGACTCTATCATGATCAGCTAAAACGGCCTCACTCATAAAGGTCGCGTGGGGGATTCCTGATTCATCCTGATGGCAATTATGGGCAGGGAGGGAATTCCAACATCTTCGAACTTCTCCGCACCGGCAACTCTTGGCTCCAGACAACAGGTCCCCCATCGCCTCACATTGGGCGGTGTTCTTTGGGCCCCATGGGCCCTTTGGCACGGTTGCTGGTGCTGCTGGGAGCCGTTGATGCCTTGGACTTTGAGGCGGGGGGTTGTGGTGGTCGATTTGTTCTGGGTCTCAGGCAGATGGCCACCTTACCGCCAACCAACGAGTGAACGGCCCAAGCACCAGCCAGCGTTTCTTTTTTCTTTTCTTTTGGGCTTTTGGGGGGGGGGAGGAAGGGTGTTTATGATGGGTATCCGGGGTCAAGGTTACCACCCAAACCACCTTTATGGTAACAAAAAGGGATGTTGTGAGCGGGTTTTTGCACCGAGCTGTATGTTCAGGCTTTGAGGCAAAGCAGACAAAACAAAGGAGACATCTCTCGAAACCTTCACCCTCCAAGGGTTGTCCATTTGTCCTCGTGTGCCATTGGCAACCCTTGGAGGGTGCTGCCCTGAGGTGGACGCTGGGGCCATGGTTCGCAGACACCGATCAGAAGAGGCGGGGCTCGGATTCTCTCGCGCGCACCAGCCGCGTTCTTTTCCCGTCTTCCGCATGCGTCGAAGGGTTCCCGTTAATGCTGAGCCCATATTCATCAACCGCGGTTGATTAATAGGGGGTGTCTCTGGGTTTGGTGGGGAATCATGACTTTTGAAGAACATCCCCTTATTCATAAACTGGGGTTGCTCAATATGGGGTTGGCATTCAGTAGAAAGGGGTCAAATGGAGGAGTCGTGAGTGGCAAAGCCTAAAAAGAAAGGGGTTTGGTCAGCCACTCCCATGCGCCAGAGAACCAACGCTTGCGATCGCCCCTTGGAATTGTGTTGTTCCCTTCGACATTTCTTTAAACTGCAAAAAAGACACCCATGTAGTACAAAGTCATCCCTGCAAATCGCAACATGGGTTTCCCATACCCGCACCTACATCAGCAGTGGCTTGATGACCCACGTGATTTTGACTTCCATTGCCAGACTTGGTTTTTGGGTGTCAAAAGAAAAGCATTGATGTTGTCTGAGACCTTCTGGTCTCGTTTTCGACCAAAGAGGGGGGCCGTGGGCTTCTCCATGTCCTTTTTTTTGGGCACCTCCAAAAGTGTTGCAGTTTCAATCGAACCCAAACCAAATCAAATTTAGTATTGTACAAGGACCTTTCTTCGGAAAACCAACAGCACACCAACTTTAGTTCCCCCTAAAAAGGGTCTCCGGATTTTCGGCCTTGGCTCCACCCGGCTCCGAGCCATGCGAGCGCCGTGCGGTTTGCGAGCGAGCGACCGCGAGGTGCACGTGGCCTACGGGGGGGACTTGGACGTCCTCGAAGGGCTGAAGGCATCGATCAGCTCCTGCGTGGAGGCCTCCAAGAAGCCCCGCGCTCGCGAAAAGCGGACGGCGGGGACGGGGGGGGGGGGGGGGGAAAGCGAGGCGTCCAGAAGAAGAGGCGCATGCGTGTCAGTCAAGCTCATAGACGGTGTGTCCGGTTTTTGATGGATGTTGAAAGGTGTTGGAAAAATAGATGGGTTTCGATTCCTGGTTTGTACCTGGTGCAAAATCATCTACCAGGGAAATCGATTTCCCCTAAAAGGACAGCTATGGTCAAGCTGTCGCTTTCCACTTTCCTGAGCCCCCTCCCCCCGCGTGGGAAGGATGAAGCCCAAGGAAATGTGCCATCACAACTGCTGCCTGAGATTTGGCGCCAAAGCAGTGCGGTTGTCCTTTTGGTGTCCCTTTCAACTCCCAAAAAGGTAGCCTCCCATTCACATGGAGCTCACCAGAGGGACCATGTTGCAGGACACTTGGCTTCTAGGACCCAGTCAGGGTAGCATGTGAGCAGACAGGAGGATAATCACCCTCTAAACGAGACACACCAATAAGAGTACCCTGACTTTTTGTGAGACACCCATTTTTCTGGAGCCATCAGGACTGGTTGTTCTTTTCTTCCTGCCGAGGCCCGCCAAGCTGGTGATCCACGTCATGGCACAGAAGATCCTTCGACTCAAGCTCTGGACGCGTTTTCTTTTTTGAAAAGGAGCGTTTTTGGTGGCCCAAAGGCAAAGTGGGACTCTGTTTTTGCTGGAAGCAAGTTTAAAAGGGTACGGTGGACTTGCCCGGTGCAAGTAATTCTGGCGGTTTTCAGCCATACTTGGATTTTGAATTAGAGTTTAGAGGGAATTGGCGCCTGCCAGCTAACAAGGAACCGAATGTGGATGTTTGTTTGATGATGCGGTTTGTTAGTTCAATGTAAATCTGCAGGAGGTACTGCAAGCAAGCCTTAGCCTGGCCTTATTTATTCACACAACCTGTCGTACTTTTCGGTAGGTACCCCCAGTTGATGTTGCAATATTGAGAGCAGCCGCCGTACTTTAGCGGTGGCACAAGGGATCTCTTCTGAACAGATCGTGGTTGGTGTCTATGTTAAACTTTCAGACGGGTGTGTTTGTATTATAGTGCTTTCAAAGAAAAGCCGGCCAACCAAACAACAAGTCAACACACAACGAGCAATTGGAGACAGTGGGCCAAGAAACGGGCGGACCGCTTGTGAGGCATTGTGTTTGGCTTCCCCGAAAAACTGGGTCTTAGGGTCAGAAAACAAATACACCAGCATAGACCGCAGATAGCGAAAAACCAGGCCGATGCGTACCTTTGTGTTCGATTCGCCAAGTTAGGAAGTTGTTGGTAACCTAGGTGATGACCCACTTTTACGTCCCCTAAGTGGAGCCAATCTTGATATTGATAGGGTTATAACGGGTACAACCCAGGCGGGTAATCACTTCCACACTTGGCCGAGCATCCTATAGCATCCTATAGCCCTGTTCCTTCGGCTCAGGAAGCACATGGCCCAGTTTCGGCACGAGTTGGGCCTGACTGAACATGAGCGGGTGACGAAGAGCGGAGCAAGGATCAAGCTGCACCAAATCCCAGAGCCGTGGTGGAAGGTTTGGGGGCCCTCAAGTGAACTGAAAAGGTACGCAAAGTGCATAGTGTCGGGTAGCAAGACAAGGGGAGCTAATGCACAGACATTGTCCGGAGTATTAAAGGTAGGAAATACAGAGAGCACAGGGCCAACAATTCCGGGCCAGCTCAAAGGAATAGTACTCCAACTCTAAACCACTAATGTTCACCCCGGATTAATAAACCCCTGGTTGATTAATAGGGGGGTGTCCCCGTTTAGTGGTTGGATTCAGACCACTTTTGGAGGGAACACCCCCCTAATAATGGGACGGGTTTATTAATCCTGGGTCAACATTACTAAAAAGTACTTCCTGAAAGGCTACCCCCACAATTAGTTCAAGAGGCGGAGGGTGGGGGCGTTACTACTCACGACGCCATTACCGTGTTTTCCAGGGCATATCGGTGCCTAGCCAGGGGCAAAACACTGGGCTGTTGCATATGTAGGGCTATCAACACGATGTGTGGTGTTTTTCCCGTCAAGCCGATCTTTTGAGGGCAGATTTGAGGAATACGCCGCTTAAATGGACCCGAAGAAATGTGGGAATCAGCTTGGGGTGTTTTTCCCGGACCCACCCCCAACAAACAATCTAATAGCAGTTCGGTCAGAGCAGTCCAGGGCGCCTTGCTTGTGTTCTTTATTTGCGTGTTGGCTTAGTATTGCTTTCAGGGCAGTACTGGCTTGCATTGGTGAAGTACCTGTTTAGGTTGTGTTGTAGTATTGCTTAGCATCGCCACTGCAATCATGGAGCCTCTTGAGAAGCAAAGGCTCTAAGGGAAAGATTTGGAAGCTTCCTATCTTTTGGAGGTTCGTTGACATTGCAGACGAACAAACACAAATCAAAACGCAAGCTTTCAGGTGACCAAACTGATGTGAACCCGGGTCTGGCACTCGGGTCCTTCGTTGATGTTCTAGGCTGCCCCATTTCAGACGGGGATTCTACATTTATGGGGGGCAACATCCCCCCTCAATAACTACGTGGTGCTTCTGTGGAGTGCGCGGCTGCAGGCCTGAGTATAGCGTCCCTGAGGCCTATTAGTCCCGGGCTCTCAATAGAATGCGTGGTTGTTCCTTTTGCAGCGGATCGGTTGGTTCCATGGTGGACGCCCTACAGAGTGCAGGCAGGAAGCGAGAGGAGCACTGCAGCACTGCACTTCACCAGGCGTTTGGTTAGATGTGGCTGGTTGTAGGAAAGCAGGGTAGTATTCGAGGCAGAAGTGTCCAATCGTTTGCCGGCATTACCAAGCTTGGTTTTTCAAGTACCCCAAAACCCCCCATGTGTTCTTGGTTTCGGCTTTTCACTTAGGAGTGTGTTGCTGTTTTTTGGCCGCCTGCTCACTTGACCTCCGGGTTCCCCCCGTTGGTCCCGCTGCAGGAAATCGGCCTCCCTCTAGGCCCTGCGGTTTGGGGCCCGGTTTGGTGGCTGAGGGGTTTCGGATTCACTTAGTTGCCCTCTACAAGAACCAGTTGAAATCCCCAAGCCACCAATCCGGACAGGGAAACCTCAGGAAAAGATCCTCCAGCTGGACACGGGGACCATCTCAGATGAAGTGGAAAAGCAGAGGGGGCAGCTGGATGACCCAGAGGTCTACGCACGGATCTACATGGATGAAATTCTGCAGCTGAGACTCGCTTGGGTGTTGCGGGCTCAACGACAGTTGAGTTTCAATAGTTCTTGCTCTTTGGCCTTTTGGCAGCAAACCTCCGCAAGCGCTGTTTGGTTCTGGGCAGGTTCGGCTGCAGGTTGCGGAGGCTGTGCTGGCTAGACGCGAATCGGGAAAAAACGTGTCCAGGGATAAATCATCCTGAGGTTTGATTTTGACCTGGTGCTCCAGAAGGCTGACCCACCAAAAGAGGCCCTTGTTGTTTTAGAAGTTCCATCCTCCCTCCATGTAATTGGCACCGACTCAGCCCGCTGGGGGTTTTAGGGGGGGGAGGGGGTGGTGGGGACCGCTGGAGACCCGTCGCGGGGTTGGGGGGGGGCCATGTGAGGACGGGTATCGTGGTGTGGCTGGACGCGGACACCATTGTCCAGCGAGATGTCGGGGAGCTTTGCGAGAAGCTGCGACAATCTGGGAAGACCGTTGGCTTCGTAGAGCGCTGACCTGAAATGCTGCGTTTCGAGGGGTGCTGAAAACCAGAACCTTTTCGCTTTTGGGGTGGCTTCTTGTTAATCCACGGTTGAGAGGTGCGTTTTGAAGATGTGCCTTGACCCAAGAGCTGAATGTGCTTCGAACGACGCAGCCGGCTTACCAGAGGACTGTGAGTTCACACCCAAAGGCTTAAGCTTCACGGCAAGGGCTCTTTGCTTTGACCAGAACCGGAACGTAAATGTTTGGCCAGACCAAAAGTTTCACAAGCGGATGAAAATCCCTAAACAAAAAAGACATCTGGTTTTTAGGTGTATCCTTCGGGGAACCCTGTTTCCGAGGACATGAATTCCTCCCAGCTGCGGTTGTCACAGACACCAACTCAGTTCCATGTGCCTCTTTTTGGGCCGCTTTTACTCGTCGAGTCGAAGCTAAGGACCGTGAGATGCGGATGTTTCCAGGCTTCTTGACGGGGAAGTGCTACAACCATTTGGGCATCAGCTGGGAGAAGCTGCAGCTGGGCAGAAATCTTTGGGGGAATTCCACTGATGAAATGCGCAAGAGGCAATGGAAATGGACCCTGGCTTCGGAGATTCCAAATTTGGACGAGTCCACTGATGAATGGGCAAAAAGAGGCGGCTTCAGCCACAATTGTGGAAATGGAGCCTGGCTTTGGGGATTCCAAAATCATATGTTCAAATTCTCTCCTTACAGATTCGATCTTCCGCGAACGGGGATTAAGAAACCACTCAGCCCCTGAAGGTCAGCAAGGTTTTGGGAAACCTGATTTTTGGTGCCTTCAAATGGCCGTCGGCTCGGGCGCTTGAACAATCAGAAAAAGGTTTATTCATCATGCGCCCATCAGCCGGCCTTGCCGTTGGGTCTGAGGAAGGACCTCACGGCCTACAACACCGGGGTCTACGTGGCCAACTTGGAGCGCTGGAAGAGGACCAAGGCGGCGGAGCGGTTCCAAGAGCTCGCGGCTTGGGCCGGAGAAAAAGCCACCCATGAGAAAGACCGAGCCCGCGAGAAATTGGTTTTTTAGGTGGGGATCCCTTACTTCAGCTATTGGGACTCTAGTGACTATACTTCAGCCTTGGGGATCCCTCACTTCAGCCTTTGGGACTCTGACATTTGCGGAAACTTGGCGTTAGATGAATCTCAAAATATCTCAAAACGACCCACTCCCCGAGTCCCAGCTGTCACTTGTTGGGTTCAACGGTGACCATGCCAATCCGCTTTAGTGGTAAAAACAAAATGTGGTTACTTGCTTTGGCCAATCCACAACTCAAGAAGCGCGATTTACAGTAGATGAAGCTCCTTTGGTAAAGGGTTGCTATAGTCACCCCACTGTTTTCCTGCTTGAATCCCACAGGTTACCTAAGACATCATTTGCTCAGGTAGAAGGTTACGGAGTCCCACAAGGAAGTCCTGGAACTGTCAGTCGTTTCACAGCGAATCGGCCTTTTGAGTTTCTTTTGTCCTCTTTTCGGCCTACTTTTAGCCAAGGTGTCGGGAAGCTTAAATTTTGATTTGCATGCTCTTTGTTTAAGTTAGTTGCTGGCGTCAATAAATAAATAAGTAAATAAACACATTTATGTATATGATATATATATATATATATATGTATACATGCATTTGCTGAAGCGTGGTTATCCATATTTTTGTTTAACGAGTAGTTGCCGTGACTGGTGGCATGTATTTTATTGGCACCTGAAAGCACATCTGAGAAAACAGGCTTTGGACTTCCAGGAAACACTGAACGAAGTGCAACAGAGTTTCGGCTTATTCAGGTAACCCCCCACTTTGGAGGATTACGCGCTCAGGCGGTCAGGGTCAAAGGTAAACCCAAGCTGGGCATTGATTTGGTGCCTGGATTTTAGGGATCCACATTGTTTTTCATCCTCCTTTTTTTCAGTGGAGTAAACTGTGATAAACATGCGGCACCTAGTAATGGCAGTGAGCCCACCTTATTAAACAAAAAGAACAAAAACAGTTGGGTGATGGCTGTGCTGACAAAAGCCCGACAGTTCTTGGAGCAACAGCCTTGCTCACTCAACCCAGACCAGGGGTTTACTCAGACAACCCGCAGTTTGGTTTGGATTTGGATTTGAACCTCTGGTTCTAGAGGGCAAATGGGAAACCATCCCCGGAGCAGCCCCACACCAAACCAGCAGCTGAGAAGAAGCTGATGAAACATTCGGAGGTTTGGAAGTTCGCATGATGCTAAATAAGTTCAAGTCACCACAGAGGCTTCAATTATTTGCTGAATAAGTGCTCGGACCCCTTTTGGAAAGAGCAAATTTTGACAAAAGGACCCACACCCTTGTGGAAACTGAGTAATGAATAAAGCTCAATCCGACCCACTCCAATTGGCTGAATTCTCCCATGATTGAGGTTGAGAGGTTGGCCGGTTTTTTTTGCTCCTCCCATCTCTCCTTCCCCAGCCAGAACTAGCTCCATTTTTCGCTTTTTGTTTTTGGCTTTTTTGGGGTCCCTTTGTTTCCCACCAACCAGACAAACAAAAAAGCTCATTTTTTCTGCTGGGGTCCTAATTCCAGCCTAGTCTCGAGTTTCCCACTCCAATTGGCTGAATTCTCCCATGATTGAGTTTGAGAGGTTGGCCGGTTTTTGCTCCTTCCATGAGTTTGAGGTGCGGGCGCACAACAGCTGCCCGGGGGGCATTTGGAAGGGCGGGTCCCAGCCGCCTCTGACCCTCACCTTCCAGCTGCACCCAGAGGACTCCGAGGAGGACTTCACCCTCTTTGAGGCGAACTGGAGGGCGTCAAAATCGATGAAGCGAACGGGTCCCTCACGGCTTACTTACACTGTTGATGGCTCTTTTCTAGTGGTCTCTGTGTTTCTTGCTGTGCATCATTTTTTTTAATTTTGCCCAGGGCAATGGTTTTGTTTGCAAATCGACTTGTTCGGCTGTGAGGCACAAATTGCATCACCAAGCCCTGCTCCCAGGAAAGCTGGAACACGGATGGACTGGGGCTCGGGCACGGGCTGAGCGAGTCGGACTTGAAGCAGAAGTTTGTGCTGCGCCTCGGAAAGGAACTGTCTCTGGGATGTCCGCAAAGGCGTTGCTTCTAAAGAGGAGACATGAGGAGACCAAGCGAAACGCCAAACCCAGGCCGTCCGCATCCCGATTTTGACTGGGACCTCTTTTGAAACGACTTTGTGCGCTGAGTATAGGAGAGATTTGATGGGAACTCTTGAATGTCCTTTTCTCCGAGGCTCGAAATCCAAAGTTCACATGCAGCGGTTGTATCCTTTGTAGTTTTCTGAGCAAAGAACCAAAAGCGGAACGCCATCTTACTCACATGCATGCGCCCAAGCACACACACACGATCTTCCGGTTCCCGCAGACCACCTTCCGGGGGTCAAACACTGATCAGGCGTTGGCAAAAAAAACACGCCTCTTTTTTTCGGCGTTGGCGTGAAACCATGTGTTTAGGGCAAAAAAAAGCCGGTGGTCATATTTGTGCGCGCCGCGGGCGGGAATGTTCGCCTGGTGGTCGGGAATTGTCGCCTGATTCGGGGAGATTGCGCTTAACACCCCAATTGAGCCCAAAAAGGCCGTAGGCAAAAAACACGCGCAATTGCCCCAGAAGGCAATTCGTATCGAAAAGGATTCAGGAAGGTCCAGGGATGGTCCAGGGAAACTGACTGAAGGGCTTTAGTGACTTTTGGAACTGTGGGGGCATGTCTTTTTTGAGGGTACTATTGTTAGTTTAAGGAAGCGAGCAAGAAACCAATTTCTACGATTTTGGTTGCTCTCTCTGTTGATCACACCCACATGTCATAATTACAGTGATGGGCCAGGTGAGCCTTTGCAGCCTAGTGGCCATTAGTAACCCCTCTTCCTTCTGCCACACGGAACTGCTCTTCCTTGGCATTTGCTTCCCACTAGAGATCAGGCTTCTAGCAGCTGGTTGCACGGGTCCCGATGGTCGCTGTGTCTGACTTGTGACAGGCACTGGAGCGGTTTGCACAAGCCCTGGAAGCAGAACGGCAACTACCGGGACTACTGGCGCTCGCATCTCCAAAAGTTTGCACAGCTTTAGTGAGAGATGCGGACAGAAAATGCAGAGGGAGTCCGCACATCGATGCCCGGTGTCTCGCAGGGCTCTTTTCTCACCGCTTTTCAGCTTCGGATTGGATTCCCCGCAGGTCGTGTATTAATGTTTTGGCCCCTAAACGCAGCTAAGAAGTGGTTCCGTTTTGGAGGGTTCTTTCATGCCTCGCCTTGGAGCAAAGGGCTAGGACCATCATTACTGGTCGCTGGTAGATGGTTTCTCGAAAGCGAACACGGGGGCTTGCAGAAATCGAAGCCAAGCGCCTCATAAGAAGAGCCCTTTTTGGAAAGAGCTGCTTTGTTGTTTTGGGAAATCCACCTAAAAAACAACAACGAAAAAAACGGTAAGGAACATATGAACCCTTGGAAGCAAATCATTGTCCATGGGTCTGGAGTTCTACATGCAGCTGCCTTTGTACGGTGGCCAATCACAGGCACATGACAGTATTCGGGCTGAGTTCGCTCTGGCCGCTAGAAACCATTAGGTGTTCCGTCTTTGTGGCCCCGTTGCGCAGCACCCCAAGAATCTTGTGACCTCAAATAGGCCTTTAAGGAGGTCCAAAACCTGCCAATGACCCCTGAATCCGGACACATCCAATGGTTCCAATGATGCCTAGGGCAGTAGGCAATTTTGACATCACTCCCTTTGCTTCTTCTCCGCTGGGCGGATTCCGAGGCTTCCGCTTTCCTGGCTGCGAAGGTGGGGCCGGGGCCGGTTTTGTTTCTTCGTTGTCGTTTTGTTTTGGCCCAAAGTCCTGGCCACGGAAATGCTGCCATGTATAGCAAGGTCACTGGACAAGTGGGCGCACACAGTTTGAGCTGGCTATGCAGGATAAACTGGCTGGAGTGAAAAGGATGCATGTCCAGAAACCGGCCAGACGGCCTTTGACTAGAGGAAGTAAGCCTTCTCGAACTTGTTGAAACTGGGATGGCAGGCTTGTTCCGAGCCTTTGAAAGTTCGAAAATCACCAGGCGGTTCCGAGATTTTGAGCGGTGTCTTTGCCAAGGGTGTTACCCTCAACCCAGAAAGCTCTCCACTTCTCCAATCAATCAACCCATAGGCCATGGGCTTGTAGCGGCAACAAAGCCTCCAGGCTTTTCAGGATTTCTGCGAGGGGTTTGTTGCAGAAGCTCCCCCTTGGCTGCACTACTTACTGTTGGATTTTAGTGGCAACATCTAGGGATTCTTTAGAAGAGTGTAGAGAACAATTCTGGGAAGTAGAGCGAGTAATCATCAGTTAGCACATGGAGTCTCATAGGACATCTCCAATTGTGTGCCAACTGTACCCACTAGTTATGCTAACTTATTGTTCCTCACTGGGGGCCGACTCGAATCTCTCTCTCCTTTTTTCCCCATCAGCTGAAAGCTGAAGCGACACTGGGCGGAAGGAATTCTGGAAGGGTTCCGGGCGGTTAGGGGGTTTGAACCCCTGGTTGTTATAGAGGGTGATTTAATGGGAAGCTTTGTATGGGTTGACTCCTTTCCATTTGCTGAAATGAACATGTGTCATGTTCCCTTCTGGAAGTATGTTTCAGCATTCTCAGTATCACCGCAATCAGCATTTTTAGGCCAGTGTTACCACCTGTAACTACTTTGCCGGTGACACCCCGCGCGGTTTAGGGGGCGCTTACAAGCAAATGGAGTTAGCCAAATGCCGACCAAAATCATGGGTTTCCATGGGTTTCCTATAGAACTTCCTGTAGTTGGTTTCTTAGAATATCCTGGTGGCTGAAAATTTGAACCCATACCCACATGAATAACTTTGCCGTATGGCAAGGGGACAGGGACCCCCCCAACTGCAAAATGGGACCGGGGTATCCAGCACAGCGGACAACTGGGTCACTGCAGGAAACTGATAGTGATAGGCAACAGGTGCTATGCTAATGGGAGGAGGGGTATTCTCATGGTTGTTGTTGGGAAACATTTTGCATATTTTTGCAAATTGTGGTTTAGTGGTTGAAATCCAAATCCCCAATTAGCTGCTAAACAAATCTGAAAATGTTTGCTCTCCAAACCCAACGTATCCAACCACTTAACTGCTAAAATTCTAATATGTTTGCTGACCAAAACTCAACGTCAAGCAAGCTCTGGAAATACCCATACCGAACTGAGCCACAATCAAAACCTGGGCAGATGAAGGTTAGTAATTGAGGGACGACCCGATCCCAGCCATAAATAGCTGCGGATCTCCGCCTCAATTCTTGAAGCATGGTTCTGGGATTCCGACCATTGTTCGTACCGATCGGTTTTGATTGCGACTATCCAACTCCCCAGCTAGCTGCTAAAACCTCCGTTTTTTTTTTTTTCTCCCCAAAACCCGACGTCAACCCAAGCTCTGGAAGTTCCCCATACCCAACTGGAGCCGCCCTCCCACCCCAGCGGCCCAGCGGCCCAGCGCCCGGCGAGGCGAGTCGGACCCCCAGGGCTTCTGCGTGGGCCGGGCCCACCGGCCCTCGGAGCGCCAGTTCGTGGCGGAGGCGCTTGGACTGGGACCGGGGGGGGGGGAGGGGATGGGAGGCTGGGGGGGGGGTTGGGAGGCTGGCTTCTGTGTATATCTCTTTGGGTTTGGTGGCCATTTCTACCGCGCTTTCCGACTGGAACCCGGGCAAGGGGGGGGGTTGGTTGGTCCAGCTTTTTCCAGCTTTTGGGCTGGCTTCCGGAGCTCCCGGACTTGCAAATCTTTTTTGTGGCCATTTCTACCTGGAGTCTCCTTCTGACCCTGAACAAATTGCGTGATTACCCCCAACAATGGGGTCATTGGCTCATTTTTAAAGGGTCGTGGAGACTCCAGGTAGTGGTAAACAACAAGTTCCAGGACTTGTTTGGCGCATCCGCTCGGGAAGTGAGGAGGGGATCAACCCTGTAGAAATCAGCATTTCAGTTGATCCACCTTTTGTGGCTGGGAGAAACCAACCCCTTGAACATCAACCGTCCGCGAAACGGGGCGCCCATTTTTTTTGGAAGGGAGATCCACTGGCGGCTGGACGGCTGAGGTCTTAGCCAGGTGGCCCTCCTTCAGACCTTTGCATCTCCACTCCCGACGCGTCTTCCGGCACGGGCTGACGCTGCCCGGAGACCCGGAGACCCGGAGACAAGCGGGCGGCGCAGCAAGCAAGGGTCTCCGGGTGAAACGAGTTAACCCATGTCAACCCCTGACAGGTGTCCCTCCGTTTCCCTGTTCACCTTCAAAAGTGGCGGTCGTTCACTGAAAACAGTCATTTGCAACTTGTGGGAAATTCAGGGACTATGGCTTGATGCACGGCCTTCATTGGGAGGGGCGTCACTTATTGTTGGTTGGACAACTTGCAGTTGGCAGGGGATCTTCATGGTTGTTGTTGGGAAACATTTTACATTTTTGCTTATTGTGGTTTAGTGGGAAATCCCCACTTAACTGTTAAAATTTAAATTTGTGCTCCCCTTCCAACGTCAACCAAGTCATTGAAAGTTGAGTTTTCCCTTGTGAGAAAAACGTAGCATGGGCCATGGAGAGTGGGATGCAATCACAGTGCTCACAGACAAGTCAAATGACGACACGCGTTTAATACAGTGTCCATGGGGATATGTTTGCCTGCGTTGTTTCAATATCAGCCGAGCCCCTTTCGCCCCGAGTGCTAGGTGGTGCTAGGTGGTGCCAGTATGTCTATGTTGCTGCAATTATTGGTGTCCCACTGCGGGATCGAACAATCAAATTGTTCCTGCTTTCGGCTCGTTGTCGACGGCTTGCGAAAGACGGGTCAGCATCACAAGCTGCTGTGTCATCATATCTAACAACTTCTACTGAGAGTGAGGCTCAGCGAGTGAGCTATGGATCTGAAACCTGAATAATGATTATTAGGTAACTCCTGCCCATGGTGATTTCAGCCGGGCCATATGTGAGAAGCTGTGGCTGTCCTCTGTGGGTTTGCCTGAAATTCAAACTAAAAAAAGAGGTACCAAGGTCAAGAGACACACAAACCCAGATTGAAGAAAGTGGATGTGGCCATTTGTCAGCATCTCTGGCGAGAATCTCAGATCTGTCAGATCACGTGAGGCCGCAACCGCCAGGTTGTTGATCTAGTGAATTGGCGCATGGGCACACGAGCTGGTGGTATCCAAAATTGCTTTTAAAGAGCTGCCGCCAGTTCTGCAAGGGGCAAGTACCTCCAGGAACCAGCAGAGCAGCCAGAAGCCTTGGTGGCAAGGTCAGCCATCCGGTTCCTTAGCGTTGCAGCTTTTTAGGGTTTAGTCGTTGGATTTCTATTTAGTTCTATTTAACCCACTAAAGGTGAGTCACTTTTGGCGGGGGATCTGAGGACAGCCCATAAACCCCTGCACTTCGTAGGGCCAGCTTTGAGCCCCTTTCCTTCGGTCCTTCGCGGTGCCAGGCTTCAGCGAGGGGGGCTGCTCGGGGTGCAGGTCGGGCGTCGGGTCGAGTCTGTTTTTCCGGCTCTGGAGGCGAAGCGAGCCGATCAGGTTGCGTAATCGGTTTTTCGGGCTCACCTGGAGGTAAGGCGAGCTCATCTTTGGTGCATGTTGCTTGGATGTTAGGACTTAAGCTTTTTGCCAACTAGTGGTTTTTTCATTAAACCACTAAAAGTTAAACTTTTAGTAGGGGAGCAGAAAGCAACCGAGTCATGATCAAGGTTCTTTTATTGGGAGGGTTTCATCGGAGACCGGCACGGGGTGAACTGGAGCTACAAAAATGGTAGTTTGTGTGCTGCGCTTGAACTGAAACGTGTTGTTTGGAGGCGGCCGCTCAGGGTGGCTACAAAGTACGCGGGCGACAGCCGTTCTGGGGGGTTGCAACATTGACACGTTTTGGCAACCCCATATGAGAATGAATGCGGTTAGCTTGTACCTGACCTTGGCAAAGTTTGCAACTGACACGTGCCAGGCGTCTGAGGATGGCGTTTTCTGAGCGCATGGTGAAAAGAGCCAGCCACGCTACGCGCACATGACTTTATTTGGTTTCAGCGCCCAACCAGCTGATTTGCGTTTCTCAAAACAGCGGGTGTTTGCAAATGGTGCGTTTCCGTGTGAGTTCCTTTCTATCAGCGCATTTTGACTTGCCACACGTCGTTCAGTTTGTGGAAAACACGTCAGGAGGCGCGAAGCTCCGATTCGTCAGAGGTTTTGGGAGGGCAGTTGCCAGTTCCCTTCTTCAAACCTCGATACGGGCCAGTAAGGACTGGGCGAACGCTTTGGTTAAAATGGAAATCCCAATATCCTCTTCCTGCTTTCGGAATCACATGTTTGGCTAATTCTTAGGAGCGATGCTTAGTAAGGGGGTATATAAGGAACCCCTTGGCGACCTGTAGCGAGGTGTTAATCCCTCCCCCGCAAATAGTACCCCGCCTACCAATATTATTTGGGGCCGGACCGATATTTATTGATAGGGCAATAGGGGGTCGGATTGTTGCTCCCGAGAAAGGAATTGAAGCAGCGGCATTGGTAGCATCAGCTTAGTATTGGCTTCGTTGGTCCCGGAGTACCCCTTGAATGAGGCTGGAGCCGGGCTGGGCGAGAAATCGGCCGGTTTAGCCAGTATTGGTTTAGAATTTGCCTATTCAACAAAGGTAAAAGGCGGCATTTGGGACCCGGCGGTCGGGAAAAACAGAAGAAAAAAAACAATACACACAAAGATTGGGCGCATTGATGAATAGGTGGAAGATATTCTTGGATTCAGAGCCCTGAAGATGACCCACTCAGCTGTCCAGGTTTCTTAGCACATGGGGCAAAACTGGGCTGCAGCGGTTCGGTTCCTGGCGAGAATCGCGCAAATCGCCGCATGCCTTTCGGCTTCCAAGGGCGGACGAATAGTCCCAATATGGGCGTTCCAAGGAAGGCAGAACAGATTCAAATCAAAGGCCCCCACATTCGGAAAAGCGAATTCGCTCATTCTGTGCAATTTTCCCGTGGAGGTCACAGACAAGCACAAGTCAGACCCTCAAAGGAAAGATCGCAAGCGGCGTGAAACAAATTCAGCGGCGTTGTCGCGCATTAACGCACCGTTGAATTCCGGTTTGCCATTATGATGCCAGAACTCACCCATGAATCTAGATCAGCCAGCATCGGCAGTGCCTGAAACAACATGATTCAGGAGAGACGTCCTAGGTCCCGCCTAGCCACCAAAAGGACACCGAACGTGGTATGAACAATGGCGCCCTTTTGCCGGACCCGATCAAGCATCCAGGCACCCCCCCACACACCCAAGCTTCAACGAGAAGCCTGCAGAACCCCAAAGCCGACAACCCAATGGTGCAACCCCTGGCTGCCAAAGGTTGCCATAGCCCCGCTTCGGAACCGGTTGCCCAGCTCAGCGCCACCGAAACTCAACACAACACCCGGCCGCAATTTGGAACTCAAGTCATGGTCCTAGACCAATTCCGTTTTGCAGCTTGAGAACACAAAAAAGTGTGGCATACACAAAATTGTTTAAAAACCATTTTGCATGCACAACTCCAATTCCATTTGGCATACACAACCTCGTTTAAAAACAATTTTGCATACAAAACCAGTTCCATTTTGCATACAACACCTCGTTGATTCCCAACGTGCAGCCGTGACCACGGGCGGCAGAGCAGCGCCTGGCGACGTTTGGGCGATGAACTTTTGGCGCTTCAGCTTTGAGCCGGAGGCCACTCGGATGGAATCGGATGGGGAATGGGGGAGGCGTGAAAACCGGCGGGGGGGGGGGCTTCTGGTTCCGCTGAAACATGGTTGTTGTTGAGAAACAGTATTCATTTTTGCTTATTGCGGTTTAGTGGTTGAAATCCAACCACTTAGCTGCCAAAATCTGAAAATGTTTGCTCCCAAACCCAACGTCAACCAAGTAAAGATATCCCGCAACAGGCAAACAGAAGTGTGGGGGGATTTCGGATTCCGGAAAATGCTAGTCACATTGAGAGGTCAGAGAGATTACGGATATATCTAAGGGTGGAATTACATACCCCTTGTTCATACCTCTTGGCTACTCTGGTTTCCAACCCACTTTATACAGCGTATATACCCTTTAGGGTTATGAAGTTATGAACATCATCAGGCCTCTCAGGGGTTCATTTGCCCCTTGGGGCTATGTAAACGGGGTATGTACAAACGCTCTGTAGCCCAGTGCCCCTGTTTTCAACTTTGGGTTCCGATTCCTTCAAGCTCAACCCACCCAAAACATCGGTGCCTGTTTTCGTTTTTTTTCCCAATCCTAGAGGCTTTCGATTGATTTAGGGCCTTCAAATAACCTGGTTTTGAGATCCCCAACCCCCGTCCGGGGTGTCTAATGCAGGGGTCGGGTCTTCCAGTGAAAGCCCCAGGAGGGATGGAAAACGAAAACTGGGCATCTGAGAGCAGCCCTGGAACTTGGGTTTCTCGGCCCGAAGGTGACCACCGAGTTCCCCTGGAAGCGCTGGGGCCTGGACACGCGCCGCAAGGAGGAACGGGCACGGGCGGAGCCAAGCACAGCCCCAGTTCCGTGGAACTCGCACGTGTTTTTGCGCCGCTTTTTTTCGGGTTTGGTGGCCATTTTGGAAGCAAATAGTCTTGGTACTTTTTTGGGGGAGCATTTTGGTGGCAAGCACAAAGTTCAGGTACTCTTTTGGCCAATCCACTCAAGTGAGAATGAGACAAGGCCTTGTGAAGCGAGGGTAGAGTACAACATGTTTGTCGTTGGGAAACATTTTACATGTTTGCTTATTGTGGTTTAGTGGGAAATCCCCACTTAACTGCAAAAAAAGAATTTTTGCTCCCTTCAACGTCAACCACGACAAGATGGATATAAGCAAACAGACCCAGTGCCGGGGATCGATTTTGTGGTCCTTCCGGTGTTTGTGTACAAGCACCCGGCACGGGGTTTACCCTGGCACTTGGCATGTCCCAAGCTCAGACTGCGCATCCTGAACATAGGTGTCCCTTTCTTGGTTGGTCTGGTTGAAAAAGACAGAGGTCGCTGGTGGTGCCATCATGTACCAGGGCTATAGCTATTTTCCAAAGGGGACACTTAAGAATTGATGTGAGATACGTTAAAGCGTTTGAGCGCCTCTGTGAGTGGGGGGGGGATTGGGAGACCAGTTTTCTCCCGCAGGGTGAAAGTATAGACCCATCATTTGGATAAGAAAGGTGGATGACGAAACCAACATGGGTTGGACCTGCGACATCTACTTGTATTCAGGAGACCTACATTTCCTCCAGCACCCTTCAAAAGTCCGTCAAAACTGGACCAAAAGGCAAGAAACTGTCAAACTCTGCAGTCTCACGCCCTTTCTTTCCTGGATTGAAACTTTTTGGGTTTTGACCATTTTGGTGGTAAACAAAAGGTTGGTTACTTGTTTGGGCCCGTCCACTCAATCGGAAGGAGTTCAAACTTGTGGGAAGAAAGTGCAGTTTTGTACAGGGTCCATTCTCCGGATTTCAGAAAGGTGGATGGCGAAGACCATTTGAGTCTCAATCAAAACCCGGGTAGATGAAGATGAGTCAGGGAAAAGCAACAATTTTGGGAAGACTTCAAACATTTTTTCCTCCCAAAGGTTCCTACATTTCCTCCAGCACCCTTCAAAAGGCCTATCAAATGTTTGGGGAAGACTTCAAACCATTTTTTCGCCTCCGGTCGCATCCTCGTCTCTCCTCTCTTCGCATCCGCCCGCCCACGCAGGATGGGGACCTGGAGGCGCTGCGCAGCTTCACCCGGCGCGCCCATCAGCTGCTGGCGCGGCAGCAGCACAAGGCCGACGGGCCGCAACGGGGCGGGCAACGGAACGTGTTCGGAAAAGGCCGTCAAAGGAGTACGGTAGGGGTACGCCACCAACCATTCTTTCCAGGAAAGCCTTGTTTGTCAAAAAAAACACCCAAACCTTTGGGAAACAGCTGGTTTTTGAAAAGAACGATGGATGAAAAGAATGGGGAATCAACCCCTAGAGTGGTGTTAGGTTACTCCATGTCTTTGTTCCTGGTATTGCTTAGAACTAGATGGGTTCCACTGGTTTAGACGGGTTCTGTTTCATTTACCAGGGCAACCCATCTATTTTTCCAAAAGGAAGCCTAGGTTTTTGGGTTTTTGAATTTTGGGGGTAAACAAAAAGTTGGGTCAGCTTCCCTGTGAAGAGGTTAGCCATCACCTCAGACCCACAAAGGGAGGCATGCCCCCCAGGCAGGCTTTGCAGGCTTTTGCCCTCCCAACAAATGGGTCATATGTGAGGGAGACCGGCTGCTCCCTCCCTGAGTTGCTGAACTTTCTACTTTTTGGGTTTGGACCATGTTAGGGTTAAACAAGAAGTTTGGTTACTTTTTTGGGCATCCACTCTGGAAGTGAGATTTTCTGAGCTCCGGTGCACGCTGTTAATTTTGCAAGTACATCACCCACAAACCACGGGCGTTTACAGTGTCCCTTCTTCCCCAATTCCGACACAGATCCAACTAGCCTCGAAGCTGGTATGGAGCATTTGTCAGAGCCGGGACAGCCATTCCCACCCCCTAAGCAATGGAATTCCCCTCCCCCTTACTGTAGGGGGGATGCACAAAGATGCAACACCAATCACCTGGGAGGCACGTTTGAGCAGGGCTCCTTAAAAGATACATTTTGCCCATTTGAAACATGGCTTTTTCCACCAACATAAAGGGAAACCACCATTTACAAGTTGCAATGTTCAGGTGTTTTTCATGTAAGGATCCCTCTGTTGAGGTGCAGAACCATGACCTGCAGGGTGTTGGCAACTGGGTTTTTATTAAGGCCCCTTGAAGATGGCGCCCACTGGCCCCCGCACCATGCGTATCTCGGTAGCATATTTGATGTTGACCCAGGGATTAATAAACCCGTCCCATTATTAGGGGGTGTTCCCTCCAAAAGTGGTCTGAATCCCCACTAAAAGGAGACACCCCCCTATTAATCAACCAGGGGTTAATTAATCCGGGGTGAACATTACCAACATTGATCCATTCGGAGGGTAAATGAGGAAAAATATGCTCTTCATTCATGGAGTGTTCGCGTTTAAACGCTATAGCCAACCACTGCGCTTGGTGGGCTCATGTGGGCTCCCAGCCATCCGGTTCCTTAGCTGAGATCTTCTTTAGTGCTGGGATTTCCGAATTTTTAACCCACTAAGGTTAAGCTTTTAGCGGGGGATCCGAACAGGGACAGCCCAGCACCGCGCAAGGCCGTTACACGCCATCGCAGCGTGAAGCAGGCGATGCGGACAAGCAAATGGAAGGAAGCCCACTAGGAAAAGTAAAGGGAGACCCAAAGGTGCAGAATCAACAAGCGCTTTAGGGGGAACTGTTTCATCCAAGAGCGACTCATTGGGTGAACCACACTTATGGAGAACTGCTGGTTTATTTTGATTGGGGAGGGCAATCCAGACTGAAATCGATCCGAATTACTTTTGGGGGAGTTGCGCTCTGCGAATCCAGCAGGCGATGCTACCTCCAAAAAGCGGCTCAAAGAGCATGTCCCCCGCCATATTCATGCATTACCCCTGTGGAGCCTGACTGGAGTTTCCTGTAAGAAACCACGGGAGTGCTCGGTGTAGTTTGCAACGTGATGTATTTATCAACCATGTAAACCCCAATGCATGCATGTCTCACTTGTGCAGTCTCATCATTACGACTGCACGTGGCTCAAGGAAAAAGCGCGCTGAGTACAGGGTCCAATTGTGACCCTTCCCGGTTGTTTAACCTGTTCTATAGGTTATCAGCCGTAAGCGGCTCTTTGTACAGAGTTGTACGCCATGGATGGCGACCCTGGACTACCCCATACCGAGGTGCGTCCCACACCTGGTGAGCCAGCAGGCGATGAAGACGCCTCGCAATATGAACCGACTAGTCGAGCAAACTCCCAAGTGGCCAGGGAGCTCATCAGGAAGGGACAAGCACTGAGCAGTCAGGGCCCCGAATCACTTCGATCCCGGAGTGACCGGGGGAGGGCTGGGCGGTCTGGTGCTCGATCTCCTTCTCCTGTAGGATCAGATCGGCATCGGCATGGTGACATCGTCATGTACGACCCCCAGACCGACCTCGCAAGGGGAAACCCTATGCCACAGTCCATGAATCAGTTCAACCAACATGTTGCGAACGTCCACCTCGATCCATCAATGACGATCAACCAGGACGTGACGAATTATCAGCAGATCAACGCTACCCAGAACAATGCCCAATTCAACCAGTTCGTGAATCAGGACACCGGACCCATGGTCGCCCAGCTGGCGGAGGCAAGGCATGGTGAGATCATTGCCGGTCTCCAAAGCCAGTCGGAGGCCATGAGACGCGAGATTCAGATGAATGCGGAGCAGCGTGCGAACACCATGAAGTCAGAAAGGGAAGCCGAGATGAAGTACCAAAACGCCATGAACACGATCAGCGAGCAGGAGAAGCAGATCAGAGAGCTAAGGGCTATGGTCGAGCAGATGGTGCAGAATCAACAGCAACCGCCTGCTCAACCTGCTCCAGCCCCTGCGCCTCCTGTTCAGCAGGCACCAGCTACCCCCTTGGCTATCCCGACAGTTCCTTTGGCTGCATCTCCACCCGGACTTTCGAATGCTTCCTCGCACAGTTGGACGAAAGTCGGGAACGACCCCTACGGCAAAGACGGATCCGTTCCCGCCGGGGCCGTGGACGATGCTGCTACCGGAGACGGTTGGCCTTGCGATGATGGTGATGGTGGAAATGACAAGGACAAGAAAAAGAAGAAGAAGAAGAAAAAGAAGAAGGACCGTAGCCGACGCCGGCGACGAGATCCGTCGTCTTCTCCCTCGTCATCTTCATCATCAACTTCAACTGCATCGGATGAATCTTTTCGACGAAAGCTACTGAAGCACTTAGGTAATTCGAGCGATCCGACAGCGGAACGCGTTCGTGTAAAGGAGGGTGACAGAATTCAGATTCCCCGATTCCCGAAGCCCGAACAGTACCGTAATTGGAGGATCAAAGTTAGGGATGCTGTTGTTGCTACTTCCGATCAACCCGAAAAGGCATTCGAATGGATTGAGGCAACTTGGATCCCAGGTCAAACTGTTGAAGTCCTTCGTGATTCAGGAATGTTTGTCCATCTTGATGCAAAGCTGGCATCGGCGTTGACGAATATCTTGGAGGGCGACCTCGCGCGGCAAGTGGACATTTTCAAAGAACAAGAAGCAAAGGAGAAACGCTATGCGAGGGGGCGCCAAATTCTTCTGATGGTTCACAAGCACTTCAGCACGAACATCAAACATGGTGCAATTTACGACTTTGAGGACTTGCTCTCTGTCCAGCTCATCAACGAGGACCTCAGAAATTTCATGACGAGATGGGACACGGTCATCGCTGGAATGGGCAATGAGCAAAATGAGAAGACCCTCGAAGCGCTGTTCCACCGCCAGATTCGAAAGTTTCGGCCCCTCAGTCATGATCTCAATGAGTATGAGCGAGCTGAGGAAGGTACGGAAAAGCACTCCTATAAATTCTTGATTGACGCATCGAGGAATTATTTGGAGCGCAAGAGGCTTGTTCACATGCGGGATGCTATGTCAAGCAACACAACGGGGCGTGGCAGGACTCCATCGAACAACCCTGCAGTTCCTGGAATCCCCAAGGGTGTATGCATCAAATTTCAAACTGGCCAGTGCACCTATGGTTCAGACTGCCGATTCGAACATGTTAAGGCACCGAAAGGTAAGGGGAAAGGCAAGAAGGGCGGGTCCAGACCCCAGACGCCAAGGAAGTATCGTTCGCAGAGCCCTCCTGGTTCGAAACCCCAGGTGTGCAAGTTCTTCAAAGCGAACAGATGTGAGAGAGGGAAGGATTGCCCATGGCAGCACCCCGCAACTTCCAAGGCAGCTCCAGCCCCAAAGGCCGAGAAGACCGCTAGTGGAGACACCCCCAAGACGTCGCCAAGGGACAAGAAAAAGAAAAAGGGGAAGAAGGATAGCAGGCCTTCTTCTCAAGATTCGAAAGATTCAAAGGGTTCTCAGTCCCTCAAGTCTCCGCGATCGTCAAAAGGCAGCAATGCTGCGGTGTGCCTCCTCCAGGCGATGGTGTGCGCCGCGACCCTCGACTCGGTCGCCTCGCATCCTTGCTTGCCTAGTGTGACTCACGATGTTTTCCAGTGTATGCCATGCATCAAGAAATGCGTGCAATTTTCTGATTACCCATCCATTTCGAACTATGAGACTGACGGCGAGCTTTGGCCCTACACTGCCTCGTCGAGAAGGTTTGCACACGAGTTTCCTGTTGATTATGTTCCGAAGTTCGATGAGAGAGCCGTCTCTGACGCAATTCTTATCGGCACCATGCATGAAGCTATGACGAAGGATTTGCTCAAAGGCACGAAGACTCCTTGCAAATTTCAATGCGACTCTGATTTCGGTTGTGATTCCTGCATCCCCGCAGGCCTAACGGCCGAGCCAGAGAAGTCCGTGACCTCCCCCAAAAAGGGGAAAGCTGCTGTTGCTCGAATGACAATGGATTCTTCTCACATTCCGTGGATTGCAGATACAGGAGCTTCTCAGGACTTGCTATCGGGAACCGATGCGGAGATGGGATGTATTTACGAATCGTCTCAGCCTCTGAAATTTTCCACAGCTAATGGGAATATCATTGGTACCAAGCAGGCCAGGGTCAAGATCCAACAGACCGATAGTGTTGTTCGGCCATATGTTCTTGACAAGGCTCCATCCGTGTTATCCGTGGGTATGAGATGCCTTAGGGACGGATATGATTTCGTTTGGAGAGCCCACAGCAGGCCTTATTTTCGACTTCCGGATGGTTCACGCATCAAGCTCGAGGTCAAAGACAATGTTCCATTCATTCCCCCAGCAACTCATAATACTGTTCCAGCTTTGTCACAGAGCATTCCAAAGGTTACATCATTACCATCAGCTCCCATTGAAATCGATGATGAAGTTCTGGTCATTGACGAGGAACCCGAAGCTGTTGAAGAGGTGCTTGTGACCAATGAGGATGATGGGGATGAATTGGGGAACGATGACTTCTTGCTTGAGGACACCATTAGCCAACCGGAAGGTGAGGTCATTGAAGAGTGCCATGACATTCCCTCCGAAGATGCGCCTAAGGTCATCGCTTCCGATTTTGTGTCGAAGCCTATTTTGAAGGACGCCCCTCGAGAACGTGGTGAAGCAGCTTTGCGTGATGAGGCGACCTCACTCCAGCACTTGATGTGTCACACTCCCAAAAATCCCTTTTGTGAGACTTGCAACAGGGCGAAGATGTACAAATATCCATCAAGACAGAAGGGAGGTTCCACTCAAGTCGAGGCCAAGAAGTTTGGTGATCACCTCACGGCGGACCATCTTATTACATCAGATGATCGTGAAATCGGCATTGACCAATCTAGAGTTGCACTTGTTGTTCGAGATGTTGCCACTGACTTCCGTTATGTTTACCCAGCAGCACGGAAAACCTCTCATCAGTGTGTGATGGCATTCAAGCACTTTGTCCGCACCGGGGAAACCGTGAACGTGTTTTACAGTGATCGGGCTCCTGAACTTGTGAAAGCGGCAGATCAATTGGAATGGAAGCATGTTCAAAGTACAAACTACATTTCCAAAACAAATGCTATTGCTGAGAGGAACGTCAGGGCGATTATCGAGGGCACGAGGACCAACCTGGAACAAGCTGGTTTGCATCATTCGTATTGGCCACATGCCGCCAAACACTATTGCATGGCGCATAACATCACGGACCACCCAGATTATTATTCACCATGGAAGGTACGTTTTGGAGAAGATTTTCCCGGACCATATTTGCCCTTTGGTTGTCAAGTCAACTTTTGGACCGGCCCGAGGAATCGACCCAACAAGCCTTTGAAGTTTGAACCTACTTCCAGGGCTGGAATATTTCTGGGGTATCCCATCCATCCTGACTTTCTTTGGCGTCATGAATTTCTCGTTATTCCTTTGCGAGATTTGATGGAGAAGGACTATGATCAACCTATTGCTCCTTTGAGGGTAAATCAAATCAAATGTCCGGATGGCGAATTCTCTTTTCCAATGGTCGAACGGCACTTATTGCACATGAACGGCGTTATGCCGGGGCTTGAATACGCTCCTGAGACGCCCGATCCAGCTGCATTGGATGCGCCGCTCTTGGAGGAGGATTTGCCGGCAGAGATGCCAGGCCAGGATGACATCGATGATCAGGAACTCGCTGAAAACCTCGGAAAGCTGATCAAAGATTCCCCCAAAAGGGGACCCGC